TATGCATGTGCAGGTATCTTTTTTGTATACTGACTTCTCTTCCTCTGGGTTGATACCCAGGAATGAGATTTCTGGATCAAGTGGTAATTCTACTTCTAGTTCTTTAAGGAATCTCCACACTGTTTTCCATAGTGGTTGTACTAGTTTACATTCCTACCAACAGTGTAAAAGTGTTCCCTTTTCATCATATCCACGCCAGCATCTATTATTTTTCAATTTTTTGATTATGGCCATTCTTGCAGGAGTAAGGTGGTATTACATGGTGGTTTTGGTTTGCCAAAAAAAAAAAAACACTTTTAAAAGCAAAAGTGATCCTGGTACTATGGAAAGAACACTGAAGAGAGAAGACAAAGGATTTAAATCCAGCTCTTCTACTATCTGATCATGCAACCTGGCCAAGGCACTTGATCTCCCAGGCCCCCAGCTCCTCTTTGATGAGATAATGTGTCCTTGGAAAGAGCATAGCCTGTAAGAAGGAACATGCCTCCAAGTAGTAAAAAGACTTGAGAACGACTGTGTTAATGCATATTTTTTAGATATCTGTTGACAGGAGAATAATATCAAGAGGTCATATCGCAGAAGGAAGTTTCCTTGAGCACTTTTATTTCCATATATTAAGTGGAGATTGAAGAAGGGTAATCCAACATGCATCTGTTCAACAATTATGATACCATATACCAGGCATGTGCTAACAGCTTTAAGAGCTACACAATAAATCACTCACTTTAACACATCAATGCCTTCACACTGATAGAAAGACAATGACTGTGATGGTTAATTTTATGTGTTAATATGACTGAGCCACAGGTGCCCAGACATTCCTCCAAACACTGTTCTGCTGTGTCTTTGAGGGTGTTTATGAATAAGACTAACATTTGCATAAAGGAGAGTGCCCTCTTTAATGTGGGTGGGCCTCATCCAGTCAAAGACCTCAATAGGAAAAAGTCTCAGTAGGATGAAACTGCTCCCACCAGACCACTTGACTCGGGACACTGTCTTTTCTAGCCTTCCCACTAGGACTCAGTCATCTGTTTTCCTTGGGTCTCCACCTGCTGGCTTTCAAACAGGAAATAAACCATCAGCTTTTCTGGTTCTCCAGCCTTTGGACTTGAACTGAAATGATATATTGGCTCTCCTGGATCTCCAGCTTGTGAACTGCAGATTTTGGGACTTCTCAGCCTCCATAATCACTTGAGCCAATTCCTTATAATAAAATTATACATATTATATATTACATTAATTATAACACAGACTATTGGTTCTGTTTCTCTAAAGAATCTTAACTAATACAAGAGCCAATCTCTAAACTCCTTAGCACGGCCAAAATGCCCAAAACAACCCAGCCCCCATCTACCCCTCCAACTAAATCTCAGACCATGGAGTGCCACTTCCTCCACTCCACCCCATTGGCTTTCTTCCATGTCCTCACACATACTGTGTCCTTTCTGTCATGAGGTTTTCACTCATTTATTTATTCATTCATTAATAAATTCAACTAATTATTGAGTTTCTACTATGAGTCAAGCACCGAGGTGGTACTGGGAATATAAAGGGAACAGGTAGGCCAGGTGTAGTGGCTTATGACTGTAATCCCACCACTTTGGGAGGCCAAGGTGGGTGGATCATCTGAGGTCAGGAGTTCAAGACCAGCCTGACCAACATGGTGAAACCCCATCTCTACCAAAAATACAAAAAAATTAGCTGGGTGTGGTGGTACATGCCTGTAGTCCCAGCTACTTGGGAGGCTGAGGTAGGAGAATTGCTTGAACCCAGGAGACAGAGGTTGCAGTAAGCTGAGATCACACCGCTGCACTCCAGCCTGGGAGACAGAGTGAGACTCCATCTCAAAAAAAAAAAAAAATTTTTTTTTAATTTTTTAAATTAAATAAAGTGAACAGGTAACAAATTGGCTAGTTTCATGGAGAATATATTCTAGTCATAGAAGACAGAAATAGATCTACAGCCTTACCTGAACACACCTGATCCTTGAAGCTAAGTGAGGTCCAGCCTGGTTAGTACTTGAATTGGAGAAGACAGAAAGCATGTAAATAAACAGGTTAATTTCAGGATGTGACACGTGCTTCAAAGGAAATAAAACAGGGTGATAGAATCATTTGGTGATCAGAGAAAGCCCCACTCATAGGTGTTTTTTAAGCACAATTTTATAGGAAGGGGCCATCCATGTGAAGACCTGAAGAAGGAACATTCCAGGCAGAGAGAATTGCAAACACAGAACTAACAGTGAGATAAGTTTATCTATAGATAGACAGAGAGAGAGAGAAAGAGAGCAAGTGAGAGTGAGAGTGAGAGCAAGAGAGAGAGAGAAAAGCTTATCTATCTATCTAACTGTCTATATAGATATAGATAAATGAAGTGTGGCTATAGCACAATGGGGCAGCAAGAGAAGGTAGCTGGGTAACCAGAAATAAGACAAAGCCTTAATAGACAATGTAGGCTTTAAATTTTTATTTGAAGCACACTGAGAGGCTTTGACATCATCTGATTTACATGTTTGATTTTGATTTCTTTTTTTTTTTTTTTGAGATGGAGTTTCGCTCTTGTTAACCAGGCTGGAGTGCAATGGCACCATCTCGGCTCACTGCAACCTCTACCTCCTGGGTTCAGGCAATTCTCCTGCCTCAGCCTCCTGAGTAGCTGGAATTACAGGCACGCGCCACCACGCCCAGCTAATTTTTTTGTATTTTTAGTAGAGACGAGGTTTCACCATGTTAACCAAGATGGTCTCGATCTCTTGACCTTGTGATACACCCGCCTCGGCCTCCCAAAGTGCTGGGATTACAGGCTTGAGCTACCATGCCCAGCCACACTGCAATGTGTAACAGTGGACATGGGGAGACTAGTAAGGGAGGTTTGCAGTAAGGATGACTGGTAGTAGCAGCTTGTTTTATGGGGATGTAGAAAAAAAATGAAGAAGAAATGATTCAGGGTATATTTTAAGGTGGAACAGATAGGAATTGCCCATGTGGCTGGAGAAAAGAAAGGATGACACCTAGGTTTTTGATTTGAACAATCAGCTGGACATAGTACCATTTCTGAGATATGAAATTCTGGGTAGAGACAGGACTAGGACTGGGGGAGGCATGGAGGCAAACTGCCCGTACTGTTTTTCTCTCAGGACTGTTTTTCACTCCCTCTTCACCTAGTTAACTCCTTCGTATTCTTTGGATCTCAGCTCAAATGTCACTTTCTCAATGCAGTCCTTCCCTGACGAGTTCAAACCAAAGATCTTGATTAAATATAGGCTCAATTGCTGCCACATAGTAGTAGATTGGAAAAGTAGTCACCAATTCCTCTACCAACCACACCATACCTAACATTTCCACTGCCCTCCCACTCTCATCCCTCTGGTCTAGGCCACATGACTTGCATCCACCAACAGGGCATCAGAAAACGTAACACAGGCAGAGTCCTGAAAGGCACTTGTGCAGTAAGTAGACTTGTCCTGGTACACTGTTTTGGAACTCTGAAACCATGAAAAGAAGCCTGGCTGACATGCTAGACAATCAGAATCATATGGCTCCTGCTGATGACCTGCCACTGCCATGACACAGGAGTGAGCCCTCTAGATCATTCAGTTGCCAGCTAACCAGAACGGTAAGAGCCCAACTGAGCAGAAACTAGGTAAAAGAACTATCCAGCCCACTCAGAATCCAAAGCTAGCCAAAGGACTGTAAAAAGCCACTAAGTTTTGAGATGATTGGTTACACCGTGAAAGTGGATACAGTAGCAGTATCTCAGTTGTCATTTTACATCTTTGATTAGCTTCCATGCCTCCCACCTGACTGTGAGCTCTCTAAAACCATAGACTATTCTGGCAGGGTACAGTGGCTCATGCCTGTAATCCTCAGCACTTTGGGAAGCTGAGGCCAGCAGATCACAAGGTCAAGAGTTTGAGACCTGCCTGGCCCACACGGTGAAATCCCATCTCTACTAAAAATACAAAAAAAAAAAATAGTAGGGTGTGGTGGCTCACGCCTGTAATCCCAGCTACTTGGGAGGCTGATGCAGAAGAATTGCTTGAACCCGGGAGGCAGAGACTGTTGGGAGCCAAGATCGCACCACTGCATTCCAGCCTGGGCAACAGAGCTAGACTCCATCTCAGGAATAAAAGAAAAAAAGGTCAGAACTTAGGTTACTGTGCCAACCTCAAAGCCCAGTATGATACCTGGAACACACCAGATATCCAATCTATAACATGCTGAATGAATGAAAGAAGAAAAGAGAGGTACACATTGTATCATAAGAGAATGGCACAAGAGAATGGGGGAAAGTTCAAAACAAAGGACTGAGGACATCTATTTGTCCAAAATAAAATCTTTTATCGAGCAGGACAAGGCAGTGAGGAATACCAGAACAAAATCGCATTTCCTCTGCCTCAAAGGGCTCAAAGTCTAGAGTACAGGAGGCAGTATAAAATCAACAACGTGTACTGTTTGAGCATTTAGACACTTCGCTCCTTCAGACAGCATTAGGGCCCTGTCCCAAAGCGTTAGGACTAGGCCCTATCGCTGCCTAAAGGAGCAAAGTGTGGGAGGTTCCCAGAGAGTTTTCTTGAAGCAGATAAAGTCTGAATTGAGGCCAGGTGCAGTGGCTCATGCCTGTAATCCCAGCACTTGGGAGGCTGACGGGGGTGGATCACTTGAGGCCAAGAGTTCAAGATCAGCCTGGCCAACATGGTGAAACCCAGTCTCTACTGAATACAAAATATTACCCCAGCATAGTAGTGCACGCCTGTAAACCCAGCTACTCGGGAGGTTGAGGCAAGAGAATTGCTTGAACCAGGAGGCGGAGGTTGCAGTAATTGCGCCACTGCACTCCAGCCTGGGCAACAGAGTGGGACTCCATCTCAAAAATATATATATATAAATAAATAAAGTCTGAATGGAGTCCTTGCGGTGTTTACTGGGAAAAGCAACACACACCAAGGCTAGGAGGGTCAAAGGGACAGAGGCGTTCGAAGGAAAAAGGAGAGCCTCCTGTTTGCTGGTGTTTTATTATTTTTTAATTTTTGTTCCCCAGGCCAACCCTGAGAGCCAGGACTGTTCGTTGTTTATCTCAGCACAGGTTTGGTGTGTTACCTCCTCAACCAACGCTCAGGCCCTTCAGGCCCAGGACCCCTGCTTCTTATATTTCTAGTTTTCCCAGTGTCCAACAATCTCTTCCACCAAGTAGGAACTCGATACATATTTGCTGAATCAACGAAAAGTTAAAGATGAGGCAGTAACACCGCTCCTTCCAAGGGCAGCTCTCAAGAGCCCAGGTTTTCAGATTCAACAGCGAAGCGGACGCGTCGGGTAGGAGACTACAAGTCGCACAGGCGGAGATGAGCCCCCTGGGGCTCTAGTTTCAGGTCTCCCTCCTGGATCCCGGCAGACCGGCGTCTTTTCTCCCCTGCTCGGAGTAGCCGAGCAGCCAAGGAGGCTGGGTGTCTGTTTCGCGCGGCTGTTAGGAAGGATGGAGGCGCCGCAGCCCCGCGATGCTTCCCACAGGCTTCGCCCGCAGGGACGCACGGGGCGACCGCGCAAGCCGCTCTGCAGAGGTGGGCGCGCCGTCGGCCCTCTCGGTCCCTCGCTGCTTTGCACTTCTCGAGCCCAGCAGCTCTCAGGCAGCCTCCGGCTTTGACCTCTGGGGCGCTCGCCCCGTTTCCATAGAAACGCCCGGGCTGGCGCGGCGGCGCTAGGGGCGGGCTCTCCGGCTCCCGGCGGCTGCTTGCGCCGCAGCGCGCGACCGGGCGCCTTGGAGCCCCAGTGGCTGATCCCCCTGGTTGGGCCCCCGCAAGGCCCTCTGCCGAGCGCGAGGCAGCATGATGAGGCGTACCCTGGAAAACCGGTAACAGCCCGGGCCCAGTTTCCCGGGGCCTTCACGGGAGGGCCGGGGTAGGGAAAGTGGAGCCTCTGTCTGTGGGGGCCTCTGCGCCGAATTCCGACCCTGGGCGGGAGACTGCACGGTCCCCGCTGTGGTCTGGGGCCTAATTCCCTGGGCTGCAGCGAGCGCTGGAGGCCAAGGGGAGCAGCGGGCCCCGCAAGCCTCCAGCCACCCACGCCGCTGGGTCTCGGGTCCTTGAACTGTCGCAAGCAGTGCAGAAGCCTGGGAGGCAGTTGGGCGCCCAGGCCGCGCCTCGCAGAGCTGCCACCTGAGGCCGGGCCCACCCGGCCCGGGCCTCTTCCTGTGCCTACACTGTCGGGTTAGTGCGGCCAGGCCCCAAATGGGATCCTGGAGGAGAGCAGTCCGCGCCGGGAGACAGTGGATTGTTGGTTGGTTTGCGCCTTCAAAGCTGCAGAATGCCCGGGGTGTGTTGGCATGTTAGATTAATGTGAAGCCTTCTCATCGCTAACGAGAATGTTTCAACTTTTGTGTCACTTTTTCTCTAGGAACGCTCAAACGAAACAACTGCAAACAGCTGTCTCAAACGTGGAGAAGCATTTTGGAGAACTGTGCCAAATCTTCGCTGCCTATGTGCGGAAAACTGCCAGGCTGCGAGACAAAGCAGATCTCCTGGTGAATGAAATCAACGCATATGCCGATACAGAGACCCCACATTTAAAGCTGGGTCTGATGAGCTTTGCCGACGAGTTTGCCAAACTTCAGGATTATCGACAAGCAGAGGTATGGAGTGAGGTCACAGTGTCGTTGTTATGAATGAGCCATGAAGTAGTGGATGAAGGAACCGTGGAAACTTTTACTTGTAATTTACCTAACTGCAGAGGTGGATACAAACTTGATAAAGTATCCATTTTCATGTCTATAACGTTTTGTGAATCTATTAAAGAGAAGTTTTCTGTGTTGTATTTTACCGTTTCCAAGCTAAACGTTAGGGCGTCTTGAAGTCTTGAATTTCCCCTCTTTATTTGCTAACTTTTGGCCAAGGGGGTGGCTGTTTACTGGGGGTAGTATGAATATACCCAGGAGGAAGAAAAGAAACATAACTCATGTCTTGTGTGGCACGTAAGTACATTTTAAAGAATGACTGGAGATGGAATTTTCAGAATGATAATGTGGATGGATAAATTATTAATAAATGGGCAAGAGATTATTGTTGAACTGCAAAAAAGGAAAAATTACATCATGGAAGCAAACCAATACTGAGACACCGAGGGGGCTTTTTGCTCTGGGTAGCAGGAGAAGTGCCCTTGCGATTGTTTTTTTTCTAAAAGCCCATTTTTTTTCCTTTAATGTTAATAAGTGCTTTTACTTATATTTATTTTCAGTTTCAAGGCATAGGTTAACTTATCAGAAGTTGACCAGTTAGAACGTTATTGCTTTTTTTGTACTTTTCTCATCAGAACCTAAAACAGAAATTTCAATTTTCAAAAAATAAAATGAGCATGATCTTTGAACTCATAATATCCATGCAAATGTAAAGAGTTATATTTAGAGGCACTTCTGGAAAAATGCTGAAGTCTTGTCATGAAACTTCTGTAATAAGTAACTCTCAATTATATATGATAACTGGGGACTTAATGTTTCAAAGATAATTTATGTTCACAGGTAATCCTAAAATCCTATTTTAGCCTAATTTCAATGCCCCTTTGTAGAAAACCTTTATGCTATTCATCAAATAGCAAAGTGAATTGATTTGCATTTGTTCTCCTTTTATCTCCCTTGCTTACCAAATGGTGGAGGTGCTAATGAACAATGACAAAAAGGTAGGCAACAAAAAGGAGAACAGAAAAAAGAAAAAAAGACTTAATCCTTAAACTGAATAATCAGTATGGATTATAAGAAATGGTATAAACCAGGCCAGGCCCTGTAGCTCACCCCTGTAATCCCAGCACTTTGGGAGGCTGAGGCAGGTGGATCACCTGAGGTAGCAAGTTCAAGACCAGCCTGACCAACATGGAGAAACCCCAAAAATTAGCCGGATGAGGTGGCTCATGCCTGTAACCTCAGGTACTCAGGAGGCTGAGGCAGGAGAATCGCTTGAACCTGGAAGGCGAAGCTTGCAGTGAGCAGAGATCGCACCATTACACTCCAGCCTGGGCAACAAGAGCAAAACTCCATCTCAGGAAAAAAAAAAAGAAAGAAAAGAAATGGTGTAAACCAAACTGCCCTGAATATCCATGATTTTAAGATTCCTAATATTTGAATACTTGATGGGAACTTGATTTGTATTTTCCTAATATATTTTAAAATGAAGCATCTATAACACATTTTGTTTATGAAACTAAAGAAAAATCAATATGAAATACAGTGTATTTGTCAATTATATAAATATGTATCATTAAAAAGCCCTTTTTCTGCTATTAAAATAATACATGTTCATTTTAAGCAGTTGAACTTCTATCTTGAGAGAAAAAGTTTTAATGTCTAAGAGAGTTATTTTTCTTATGCTATATTTAAATACTTGCCTTAAAAAAAAATCTGTCTCTTCAGTGCTTTCCACTAGTGCTGTTTATAAAAGAATTACTCGGGCCGGGCACAGTGGCTCACGCCTATAATCCTAGCACTTTGGGAGGCCGAGGCGGGTGGATCACGAGGTCAAGAGATCGAGACCATCCCGGTCAACAAGGTGAAACCCCGTCTCTACTAATGATACAAAAATTAGCCTGTAGTCCCAGCTACTCAGGAGGCTGAGGCAGGAGAATTGCTTGAACCCAGGAGGCAGAGGTTGCGGTGAGCTGAGATCGTGCCATTGCACTCCAGTCTGGGTAACAAGAGCGAAACTCCGTCTCAAAAAAAAAAAAAAAAAAGAATTACTCAAAATGTGATTTAAAAACCTGTAACGTTTAAGAAAAAGTAATTCTAAATGAAACAGAGATGAGACATGCAGTTTGACAGCTCAGCAACTCAGACCATTTATCTTGTTCTGCAGGCTTTGATAATTCACAAATGGCTTCTCAGAAAAAAAAAATACAGCAAATACAGTGATCGCTAAGCTTTTTTGCTTTTGACAGCTGTGTTGCTTTAAATGTTTACAGGATGCTCTATCTTTCAGCTATGATTTTTCTGAACAGTTGAGCCATTAACAGTTCAGAGATAATATATGTAAAGGATCCAGTACTGTGCTGAACACACTGAAAATGTTAGCTGTATTAAAATTAGAGCTGTCTTAGCACTTAAACTACCACTTGAAGGTAAATAAGTAATCCTAAGGTGATGTGGCGAGGATGAGCTCCTGGGAAACCTGAGACATTTTCTTGTCATTTTGCTCACCAGGTGCTTTTCTACTTGTACTGTTACTGTGCAGCTTAACAGTTTTTAATGTGTTTGAGTTTAGATTCTGAGTCTTATCAATTTCTAGTTATTATCCTTTTATTTATAGGTTAAAAGGTTAAACATTCTAATTTAAAATTTTAATAATTTTCAATAGGTTGAAAGACTTGAAGCCAAAGTAGTTAAACCCTTGAAAGCTTATGGGACCATTGTGAAAATGAAACGGGTAAGTAAATCCGTTTTCTCACTTATGAGTTACTCTGGCAAAGAGTATGAGGATTACAATTGTTCTTTTAATAAGAATTACAAAGTAGTATGTAATCATTCTTTTTACATACTCTGAAAGGTCACTTAGATCTTTAAGAACAATGAAATATTTTTAGTGAGCTTATTAAGTATACTGTAGCAACATAAGACTTTATTATGGGAACTTTAAAATATTTAATATTTATAATGAAAAATATATGGACAGAAATTAGTTTACTATATGAATATAAGTATTTAAAGCAGATTATAGCATTTAGACTTTTAAAATGTGTGACAGAGTTCTAAAAACTAACTTTATTGAGGTATAATTTACATCAGCAGTCGTCAACCTTTTTGGTACCAGGGACCAGTTTTATGTAAGACAATTTTTCTTTAATTCACAATAGGGTTCGCATTCCTATAAAAATCAAATGCTGCCTCTGACCTAATGAGGCAGAGCTCAGGCCTTAATGTTAGCTTGCCCATCACTCACCTGCTCTGCTGGTCCAGTTCCTAATAGACTGGGGGGTTAAGTGCCTCTGATTTACATGCAATAAAATTTTTCCATTTTCAGTGATCACTGAGTTTTGACAAATTTTTATATACATGTGACCACTACCACAATCAAAATTACACACTTATATACATATATGTATTACGGTTATAGTTTTGTACTGAAATTGTGTCATTCTTTTGAGGGAATATTAAACACATTCTCTCATACATAGACACACTAATTATGTAATACTGGTAATTTCTGTAGTAATGGTACCAGGATCACACAAGAAATATTCTTCTGTTCTTAAAATGGAGTGTGTGAATTTCCTTAAGTCAGACATTTTTACTAACTAAAAAAAAAAATGCCAATTTGCAGGATGACCTCAAAGCAACATTCACAGCAAGGAATCGAGAAGCTAAGCAATTAACTGAGTTAGAAAGAACACGTCAGCGAAACCCATCTGATCGACATATTATTGTATCCTTTGAATTTAGGTCTTTAAAAAAAAGTTTAAGGTATGGAGTACAAAAGCAAATGTATATAGAAATTATGCATTTTTACTTTTACATGAATGGAGAATTTGAATATAAAGGTTGAAAAGAAACGCATTTAGGAATTCTCACTATAGAAAGAGGCTAATTTTAAAGAGGTTACACCACCTAATTCAAATCCCCTTATATTGTTTTCTGCAATCGATTTGTAAACAAACAAACAAACAAACGAAAAACCTACTCAAAAATGCAGATGTTTTTATAAAAAGTAAATTCAAATTTTAAATTTTATTTTCACATGGTGATGACTATATATTAATTCTACAACTAACTTAAAGATCTATCATTAATTCTAATATATCAATGCCCTCTATGCCCTGCTTTGAAAAAAGGGAAAAAATATTTCCCATTTAATTTCCTTCGCCTTTTTGAAATGAAACAACTATGTGAAATCATGACTTCCAGCCAGTTAATCTCAGGAGACTTAGGAGTATAATTAAGATCCATGTTGGACACAAAGGAACCTAGATAGGACTGTCTACTCTAACAAGGTTCTTCTGTTAAACATGATTATTTATTTTTATCTAGTCAATCTTTACTTTTTTTCAAATTATACTTTAACTTCTGGGGTACATGTGCAGAACGTGCAGGTTTTAGGTACACACGTGCCATGGTGGTTTGCTGCATCCATCACCCGTTCATCTACCTTAGGTATTTCTCCTAATGCTATCCCTCCCTCCTCTATCCCCCTGCCGGCTGCTATCCTTCCCCTAGCCCCCAACCCCCCGACAGGCCCTGATGTATGATGTTCCCCTCCCTGTGTCCATATGTTCTCATTGTTCAACACCCCGTTATGAGTGAGAACATGTGGAAACATGACTATTTCTTAAACTATAATGTGCCTTGTTGGTGACTAAACAAAAGCATACAAAATAGTGCCTAATTGCCAGCAACTGAGATAGGTGAGACTGTGTCGAAAGCACTAACATCCCTACTGCCTCTTTTTCCATTCCTTCTGTGTGTTTCCTTCCTACTTTCTTAAGGTTGTTACTGCCCAGCTCAAACCAGAAACCACATGAGGAGTGGCTCTATTGAGAGCATTTGAGATTCCAAAACACCTCCATTCCTGAGGGGAGTCCCTTGAGCATTAATTTGAGGCTACACTAATTGCTTGGTCCTTCTTCCTTTGGACCAGAGGTACAGAAGCCCAACTTTGTGCTAAACAAAAATGGGCAGCCATAGGGCTGGGAGTGCCCACTGGAGACTGGGAAAGAAACATCTAGAGTGTCATAGTGGCATAAGATCTGCAAATGGAGATGATAGAGTGTGTTTTAAGCAAGTCAGACAAACCAGAGAATGCTGGAAAATTTATGACTGATAACTAGAGATCAAGGCAGAGGCTGTGGCCGGTGGGAGGGTGTGTTCACCAGTGTTTAAGAATTAAGCTAGGGTTCCAAATTTTTTGTTTTGTTTTGTTCTTTGTGGCCTGAAATTGGGGAGGTGGTGATATATGAAAACATCTGGAATCCTGAGCAGTTGGCAAGATTGAATCAGGAGTACTGGTGTCTACACTCAACACAGAATCTATTCCTAAGACAAACATTTTTCTGACTTGGATGCTGTGCTGTAAACACTGCTGTGGAAGGGAGACAATCTTAGAGCACAGATGAAGCAGGTCTGTGGGGTCACATTGTGGGGAAATAAATAGAACCTAAGAGATTATTGCAACAGGTGAATCAATGTGCTCACTCGGTAAGATCTGCAACTTGTGCATTTTGACAACCTGAGACCAAAACATGAAGGACAATCTACATACAAATGTAGTCAGTATAAACATACAAATATTCAATCATAGTATCATAGAATTTTTACCAGGATAGACTCTTTTTTTTTTTTTTTTTTTGAGACGGAGTTTTGCTGTTGTTACCCAGACTGGAATGCAGTGGCACGATCTCAGCTCACCACAACCTCCGCCTCCTGGGTTCAAGCAATTCTCCTGCCTCAGCCTTCCGAATAGCTGGGACTACAGGTGCACACCACCATGCCCAGCTAATTTTTATATTTTTAGTAGAGACGGGGTTTCACCTTGTTGACCAGGATGGTCTCAATCTCTTGACCTCGTGATCCACCCGCCTCAGCCTCCCAAAGTTCTGGGATTATAGGCATGAGCCCGGCCAGGATAGACTCTTAAAATTCATCTATGTTGAAATATGTTGAAGTTCAATATGTAAAATAAAATAGAGTCCCTCTGAGAGAAGAGAATAGGGAAAAGAAGAATCCCAGGGCTCTGCCTGCTCACCCCCCAAGTTAGGCCCCAGGTAGCTTCTGAACAAGCTTCCTGTAATGCAATGTAAGCCCAATCTGGCTTACCCTTTTAAAAATCATTTCAAACTCTTAACTAATTCCATTTTATATACCAATACCTTTATTCATGCAATTGTATCTTAGTATTTTATTTTATTTTGCTTTTGTCGTGTTTTTTTATGAGATGGAATCTCGCTGTCATACAGGCTGGTGTGCAGTGATGCTTTCTCAGCTTACTGCAACCTCTACCTCCTGGCATTTCTCCTATCTCCCCAGCTGTCCCAAGTAACTGGGATTATAGGCACATGCCACCATGCCCAGCTAATTTTTTATATTTTTAGTAGAGACGGGGTTTCACCATGTTCCCCAGACTGGTCTCGAACTCCTGAGCTCAGGCGATTTACCCGCCTCAGCTTCCCAAAATGCTAGGTTCACCCGTGTGAGCCACTGCGCCTGGCCTGTATCTTAGTATTTTAATCCAAAGCATTTCCTACTCAAGTTGTTACATCATAGAATTTTGAAGAATTTTCGGTAAAAGAAATACTAGAGCCAGACATGGTGGCTCACGCCTGTAATCCCAGCACTTTGGGAGGCCGAGGCAGGTGGATCACAAAGTCAAGAGATCGAGACCATCCTGGTCAACGTGGTGAAACCCCGTCTCTACTAAAAATATAAAAAATTAGCTGGGCATAGTGGTGCGTGCCTGTAATCCCAGCTACTCAGGAGGCTGAGGCAGGAGAATTGCCTGAACCCAGGAGGTGGAAGTTGCGGTGAACCGAGATCGTGCCATTCTGCTCCAGCCTGTGTAACAAGAGTGAAACTCCGTCTCAAAAAAAAAAAAAAAAAAAAAAATACTAGAAATCCATATTCTCTTTGTTAAAAATGGATGTGTTACTTTGGGTGAGTTGCTATACTTAAGTAAAGGAATTGAGACTTTCAGTAATAAGTAGAGTTGCTGGAGGCTATAAAAGGTCAAACTACACATATCCTTGCTATGGCTTCTGTTTCCCCATGCTTTCCTGTTTAGCCAACTCTACTTACCCTTCTAAACTGTCAAATGAAAGTATCAATAAATGAGGAGGGGAAAGACATAAGTCAAAAGGAAGTAGTCACAAGTAAAGAGCTGCATCAGTCATGTATGTATTAGTGTTAGGAATTAGTCTGGTTGAATATTCTCATTAGCAAAAGGTTAATATGTATCACATAACTGTTAGAGATTTTTTCATAGTAGTAAGTCTTCAAAGGACCTCTATTTTACCTTCAAATTTCTTGTAATGAAGTTGTAGTTTAAACAATCCTCAAACACAGCAATATAGAGAATCGTATGAGTATATAAATTTAATTTATTGAAAAAATTGTTATACTCTCTTTGAAATGTATTTTTTCCTTTATGAAAAATTTCAGTCACAGGTGGGTAATAAAGTGATGTGTCAAAAAATGGATCCTTAAAGTAAACCCTTTTACTTGTTTCAATTTATACATTTCTTGAAAAAGAAAGCAAAAGCTAAGTGTCACGCCATTACATATCATAGAACTTTGAAAACAAATGCAAACTTTTTCTATGATTAATTGTTAAATGATGATATATGTGACTTTTGAGTAAATTTAATATTAGCACAGGAAACAAAACTTTATTAGGAAGAATTTAATCAGAAAATTGGGCTGTGTCTTTTCAAATTCGTGTTACCATTTAAGAAAAAATCTTGGCCAGGCGCGGTGGCTCACGCCTATAATCCCAGCACTTTGGGAGGCTGGGGTGGGTGGATCACGAGGTCAAGAGATCAAGACCCTCCTGGTCAACAAGGTGAAACCCGTCTCTACTAAAAATACAAAAATTAGCTGGGCATAGTGGTGCACGCCTGTAGTCCCAGCTACTCGCAAGGCTGAGGCAGGAGAATTGCTTGAACCCAGGAGGCAGAGGTTGCAGTGAGCCAAGATTGTGCCACTGCACTCCAGTCTGGGTAACAACAGCGAAACTCCATCTCAAAAAAAAAAAAGAAAAAATCTTAAATGTTTTTTGGGCAATTTTTGTTAGCAGATGAGATGCTTAAAGAGAGATACACAATTAGATTAGAAATATTCTGCACTTAACGGTACTATAGCCACTAGCTATATATATGTGGCTATTGAGCTCTTGAACTAAAACTAGAGTAACTTTGGGGATAGTTTTTAATTTTTTATTTAGTTTTAATGAAAATGGCTACATATGGCCTAGTGGTCACCATATTGATTGGACAGTACAGATCCAGATAATATGAGTACATGTCCAAGTGTTTTAGACTTGCCATCTAATTCATTAGTTACTAGTGTATTTATTTTTTGTAATAAGCATAGAATAGAAGCAGTGTAACATGGTTGTCTTGTAAGGAAGAATCTACAAGTACAAATCCCATGCTGAAATATTTGTAGTATATATTGTATTCCACCTGATGAGGATATTATAGAATTAAGAATATTTATCAAGCCTGTAATCCCAGCACTCTGGGAGGCCGAGGCGGGTGGTTCACGAGGTCAAGAGATCGAGACCATCCTGCTCAACATGGTGAAACCCCGTCTCTACTAAAAATACAAAAAATTAGCTGGGCATGGTGGCACATGCCTATAATCCCAGCTACTCAGGAGGCTGAGGCAGGAGAATTGCCTGAACCCGGGAGGCGGAGGTTGCAGTGAACCGAGATTGCACCATTGCACTCCAGCCTGGGTAACAAGATCGAAAAACTCCTTTCCAAAAAAAAAAGAATATTTAATGCATTTGGAGAATGAGTAGAAGTAAGCAAGGTAGAAAGGGTCTTTGGTTATATACCTGCTATCCCAAAATACCTCAATGTTGTAACAATTTTAAAAATCAGACTCTCAGTGGTGGTAATTGTCATAGCTGTAGGTCTCTACTGTGTGCCACTCTCCTTAGTCCTTTCCAAAGATGATTTCATTTAATCCATACAGTAGTCCTATCAGATAAGCATAAAGAGTAAGAGATAATCAGTTGGGTGCAGCGGCTAACGCCTGTAATCCCTGCACTTTGATTGCAAAGTCAAATGGGTGGATCACCTGAGATCTGGAGTTCAAGACTAGCCTGGTCAACATGATGAAACCCAATCTCTACTAAAAATACAAAAAATTAGCTGGGCATGGTGGCACGTGCCTGTAATCCCAGCTAGTCAGGAAGCTGAGGCAGGAGAATCACTTGAACCCAGGAGACGGAGGTTGCAGTGAGCTGAGATAGTGCCAGTGAAAGCTAGCTTGACCAACAAGAGCAAAACTCCATCTCAAAAAAAAAGAATACAAGATAATCTCTAATTGAGAAAACTGAAAATAATGTTTACTAAGTCAGGGAGAGAGACAAAAGAAAACGAATTTTTGATAAATGGCACAGGCAGTGAAGTAGATGGAAGCAGTAGAAAATATGGGAAATGGTTTTACAGTAAGTTATCCAATGGTGTCTGGAAAAAATATTGATTTGCAGACAGAAAGGGAAGGATTTGGGGGTAGTTTTTGTTCTTTGGATTTTTTCCCTAGATCATGCATCATGTCACTAAATAGACATAAATTTCTTTATTCTGCATGTGCTTGCATAGATCATTTTATTTATATATGGTAAAATATAATATTAACCACTTACACTATTATGCCAGAAAGCCAGTACTGCAGTGGTAGAATTTACCAGTGGACTCAACTGAATGAATTCTCATTTGATTTTGTTTATATCTTTGGTTGGGGAATACTTTTGTAGGCAGAAACGGAATTACAGAGAGCGGCAATGGATGCTTCCCGAACAAGTCGTCATCTGGAGGAAACTATTTACAACTTTGAAAGGCAGAAAATGAAGGATATAAAGGTAATAAAGTAACTGTTAGGGTTCAAAACATGTTTCTAACCTTATTTTTTACTTTAAACTTATGAAAAATTTTAATTACTCTAAATTTTTTAGCCCATAAATAGCTCTTATAAAGAAAGTATGATAAATAAAGGGCCAGGCACAGTGGCTCATGCCTGTAATCCTGGCACTTTGGGAGGCCCAAGGCAGGTGGATCACTTGAGGCCAAAAGTTCGGGACCATCCTGGGCAACATGGCAAAATCCCATCGCCACAAAAAATTTAGCCAGGTGTGGTGGCACATACTTGTAGACCCAGCTTCCTGAGGCAGGAGGATCACCTGAGCCTGGGGAGGTCGAGGCAGCAGTGAGCCATGATTGCACCACTGCACTGCATGTGCTCCAGCCTGGGCAATAGAGCCAGACTCTGCCCACCCCACCCCCCTAAAAAAAAAAAAACACAGAAAAAGCCAAAAATATATATATTATAAATAAAATGTATCAGGGTTTTTTAATGGAAACAGTGGTATATAAAAAGACCAACATTCACAACCAGAAGCCAGATATTCAGCTGTTATCACAAATACTATTTAATTAAGGGGAACTAACATTTATTATGTTTTTACGTACCAGGCACTACTCCAGGCACTTTATGTAAATTCTTTCAGTCTTCACAGCAACTCCATGAGGAAGAGGTGGTATTATTAAGAAATTAAGCAGCCAGGTGCAATGGCTCACACCTGTAATCTCAGCACTTTGGGAGGATGAGGCAGGCAGATCACTTGAGGTCAGAAGTTTGAGACCAGCCTCGACAACATGGCGAAACCCAATCTGGCTAAATATAAAAATTAGCCAGGCGTGATGGTGCACACATGTAATCCCAGCTACCCAGGAGGCTGAGGCAGGAGAATAGCTTTAACCTAGGAGGTGGAGGTTGCAGTAAGCCAAATCATGCTGCTGCCCTCCAGCCTGGGCGACAGAGCAAGACTGACTCAAAAAAAAAAAAAAAAAAGCAAGCAGAAACATAAAGTATTTTACCCAAAGTACAATAGCCAGAAATACGAGCTATAAAACAATATTTTAATCTGATTTCTGTTACAATACAGTCATTAATTTTTATAGCTTAATACTTTATAATAAGTACATATTATCAAATAAGTAAACAGGGTAATAGTAGCCAACCACATAAATTCGCATCTACTATGATATGGCATCTTAGTCAACAAAATCACAGGAATTGCCAATTCTAACACATATGTGGATTTGAAACTTTCTTGGGGATCATGAACTTCAGCAGGTCTTTTTGATAGCCATCTTGACAAGACTTGAAGGACCGCTTATGACCATCTTACAGACTTTAAAATTCATCTAAGGCTCTTTTTGGCCCACTGAAGATTTTCCTGTAATGAGCATTAAATATGTTTGCTTTTATTTTACTACTATTGACAAATAAATCTTCCTTCATAAGCTATATTCTTTCAATAAAGTAAGCATTATCTGACACTTAATTATATCATTTATCTCTGAAATCCATGTAACAGTATTCATTTACATCTTTTATTTTAATTTCCTGTCGTAGTTTCAAAGATTTCTGAGCTGCTCAATTCAGTCACAGGCTCTGTACTCTTCTGTGTAATAGATTGCTACTCACAGAAGAGCATCTCAGGGGGCTGTCCCAAGATAAATTCCTTTACTGAGCTGGGAGAGTATGGTCAGGGTATAAAGATTTACAATTGCTGACATCCCCTCTTAAACTCAGGGAGGAAGGAGAATTATTAAGATAATTATTTAGCTTTAACCTGAAAAAATGGATGCCTGATACCACTGTTGGATAAGGGCTTTTCTTTTGTGATGGGACTGATTCCTTATTCCATCACTGTTCCTCAGACCTGCACATTTTTTATTTACACAAAAATTTGTCTCTACTCTGATCTTTGGGCTCACTTCTGTGTTCTGCCTGCATGCTGGTTTTAATTCCCTGAGCATTACAAAGTACCAAACCCGGGCAGAGAAAGTGACTGCAGCATTCCCAGCTACAATTCCTGCTGCCTGGGACTTCCTGAAGCAACAGGAGATGGAGTGAGGTGCTATACAGTGAAGGGTACACAGAGAAGAAAAGAGCTTCTAAGCTTTCCTCTATCGTGCCCCCAAAAGAAGGAAGTCTCTTGATTTCAAGAAGTCTCTTGGTCACAGAAGAAAAATTTTTTAAAAAGACAGGAAGAAACCTACACTTTTAAAACATTGGGATATAATTTATTGTGCAACTCTGGTTTTAAGTGAGTTCACATATATATAACCATCACTACTCAATGTTAGAACATTGTCACCACCTCAACCTTGTACAGTTTAGCTTTACCCCCCGCCGGCCTCCCAACCCTAAGCAACCACCACTAATCTTTGTCTGTACGGATTAAGCTATTCTGCAAATTTCATGGAATGGAATCATCAAGCATCTTGCCTTCTGTGACTGGCTTCTTTCACCTTGCCTGCTTTCAAGGCTTATCCATGTTGTAGGATGTATCAGTACTTCATTCCATTTTTTGACCAAATAATATTCCATTGTATGGATATACAACATTTTGTTTACTCATTTCATGGACATTTTGGTGGTTTTCACCTTTTGGCTATTGTGAATACTAATATAAACATTTATGTACAAGTTTTTATGTAGACATATATTTTTATTTCTTTTGAATATATACCCAGGAGTGGAATTGCTGGATCATTGGTAACTTTATGCTTAAGCATTTGAAGAAGTGCCAGACTGTTTTCTAAAGTGAATGCACCATTGTGTTTGCCCACCAGCAATATATGAGGGTTACAACTGCTCTGCATTTTCAGTACTTGCTACTCATCAGACTTCTTGATTATAGCCATCCTCATGGGTCTGAAGTAGTAGTTTCATTGTAGTAGTAGTCTCATTGTAGTTTTGACTTGCATTCCCTGATGCTTTTTGGTTTTGTTTTTTTTTTTTTGGTTTTTTTTTTTTTTTTTTTTTGAGATGGAATTTTGCTCGTTACCCAGGCTGAAGTGCAATGGCACGAACTCAGCTCACAGCAACCTCCACCTCCTGGATTCAAGTGATTCTCCTGTCTCAGCCTCCTGAGTAGCTGGGAGTACAGGCATGCACCACCACGCCTAGCTAATTTTGTATTTTCAGTAGAGATGAGCTTTCTCCAGACTGGTTGGGCTGGTCTCGAAGTGCCGACTTCAGGTAATTAATTCCCCACCTTGGCCTCCCAAAGTGCTGGGATTATAGGCATGAACCACCGCGCCCAGCCAGCTTTTTTCTTTTCTTAAAATAGAGACAAGGTCTCATTATGTTGCCCAGGATGGTTTTGAATTCCTGGTCCTCAAGTCATCCTCCTGCTTCAGCCTCCCAAAGTGCTGGGATTACAGGCATGAGTCACTGTTCCTGGCCTCATGATGCTTTTTGGCCATTTGTGCATATCTGCCTTGAACGAATGGCTATTCAGATCCTTTACCCTTTTTTTAATTGACGGTTTTTATTTGTGAGAGATTTTTATATATTCTAGATATAAGTCCTGTATCAGATAATCTGAAATTTTTCTCATTCTGTAGGTTGCCTTGTCACTTTCTTGATAGTGTCTTTGAAGCACAAGTGTTAATTTTGATGAAACTCAATTTATCTGTCTTTTGTTACTTGTGTTTTGATGTTATAGCTAAGAATCCATTGCCAAATCCAAGGTCATGAAGATTTATTCCTATATTCTCTAACAGTTTTATAATTTCAGCTCTTATATATCTTTGATCCATTTGAATTTTTATATATGGTTAAATTTTGTAAAGGTTAAATTTCAGCACCTTTTGTTGAAGAAACTGTTCTTTCCTCAATTGAATGGTCTTGGCATCTTTGTTGAAAATCAGTTGACATGGTTTTATTTCTGAGCTCTCATTCCTTTTCATTGATCTATGTGTGTCTATTCTTATGGTAATACCACTGTCTTAACATTGCTTTATGGTAAGTTTGAAAATCAAGTAATGTGAGTCTTCATACTTTCTTCTTTCTTAAGATTGATATGGCTATTCTGGATTATTGCAATCCTATATGAATCTTAGAATCAGTTTGTCAGTTTCTATAAAGAAATCAGTTTGAGTTCTGATAAGGATTGTATCAAATATGTAGATCAATTTGGGGAGTATTGATATCTTAAGACTAATTCTTCCAATCCATGAACATGGGATGTTTGTCCATTTATTTTAATATTCTTTAATTTCTTTAAACACTATTTGTAGTTTGCAGACTATAAATTGTATTTTTTGTTAAACTATTTTCTAAGTATTGTGTATTTCCTGTTGCTATCGTAAATGGATTTTTCCTAATTTTCAGATTGCTTGTCACAAATGTATAGAAATATAATTGATTTTTGTATACTGCCTATGTCTTACAACCTTGCCAAACTTGATTATTAGTTCTAATAGTTTTTTAGGTGGATTCCTTAGAATTTTTCACATATAAATTATGTCATCTGCAACAACCTACAATTTAAATGCAAACTCCCATAACCCTAGCAAACTCCCAGAAATATGAGCACCAGATTTTAATACTAGAGTCTGTTAGGGTTCTGAATCTCCATTCTGTACATCATTCCTCATCATTGTCAAATTGCCTCCTTTCTAAGTAAGGCCACATTTGGGATCTTTTATAATAAAGAGGGATGTAGAAATCTCCTAACGGTGGCCTCAAAGATCAATCAAAAGGGTTACATTACAGCCCATTTACTCTTTTTCTTTTATAGAGATTGTGTCTCCCTATGTTGCCCGGGCTGGTCTCAAACTCCTGGGCTCGAGCAGTCCTCCTACCTCTACCTCCGCATGTGCTGGGATTACAAGTGTGACCTACTATGCCTGGCTGGCCCCCTTATTTCCAATATAAACAGTATTTAGATATTGCCATGTTGATCTTAGCATGTCTCATAAACATTTCTGTGAGATAAATACTTGGAAAAGACAAATTATTGATGCCACTTTTTTCTTTTTGAGTCTCTGTCACCCAGGCTGGAGTGCAATGGCACAGTCTTGGCTCTCTGCCACCTCCACCTCTGGGGTTCCAGCAATTCTCCTGCCTCAGTCTCCTGAGTACCTGGGATTACAGGCACCCGCCACCATGCCAGGCCAGTTTTTGTATTTTTAGTAGAGATGGGGTTTCACCATCTTGGCCATGGTGGTCTCAAACTCCTGACCTCATAATCTGTCTGCCTCAGCCTCCCAAGGTGCTAAGATTACAGGCATGAGCCACCTCACCTGGCTGATACCACTCTTATTTTGGGGAGAAACAGACATAACATTCCTGTTCTTACCTGTTATCAGGCTACTGCTTCTGGTAGGGCAGAGTTTGTGGCTCCTTCTTTAACCACTCTGGAAGCAGAAATGATTAGCAGTAGTGAGCACTGCTCATAACTGCATTATGTATTTGAGGTGAGTTTAATCGATAAGTCCATTTGAATTTTGGTATTGGCATTAATCAGCAAGGTAATACATTTTAGACAGACTTTTCATAGGAACTTTGAAGAGTGTCTCTCTTGAAATAGGCTAGTAAAGAACTTAGTGTGCAAAATGGAAGAAGAATCAGAGGCCGGGCGTGGTGGCTCACACCTTTAATCCCAGCACTTTGGGAGGCCGAGGCGGGTGGATCACGAGGTCAAAAAATTGAGACCATCCTGGTCAACAAGGTGAAACCCCGTCTCTACTAAAAATACAAAAATTAGCTGGGCATGGTGGTGCGCACCTGTAGTCCCAGCTATTCGGGAGGCTGAGGCAGGAGAATTGCCTGAACCCAGGAGGCGGAGGTTGCGGTGAACCGAGATCGTGCCATTGCACTCCAGTCTGGGTAACAACAGCGAGACTCCGTCTCAAAAAAAAAAAAAAAAAAAGGAAGAATCATAATCCCATTTGTTTTCCATATATTAGGAAAAGTCATCAGTATATGATCAATGTCAAGGGAATTTCACAATTACAAAAAAGGTACTTAACCAGGAGTTATTCCTGTAATGAAGTAGCTGACATGAGCAAGAAACATGATAATATTTATACCTTTATTTTTATTACAAATATAAATCATAAAACGTATCCATAAAACAACAGACAACTTTAATCTCAACACCCAAAAATATTAACCATTTTTTATTTTATCCTTCCAAACTTTTCTTTTGCATATATACAGAGATATAGTAATAATAGTAACAAACATTTCTTAAACATTGACTGTGTGCCAGGTACCATTCTAAGTATTTTACATGAATGAACTCATTAATTCCTCAAAACATTATGAGGAAGGTACTATTTTTAGCCTTAACAGTTATACATAAATGGGACCACCATATATATAGCATCTCTTCTTAAAACTTTCTATATCATGGATATATTTATGCTAAGAAACACATCCATATCATTTTTTTTGTATCCTTATGATATTTTGCAGTACGGATATATGAATTCATTTAACCAGTCCTCATTGGTGAATGTCTAGGTTATTTTTGCATTGTAGCTGTCACTGCATCATTACACATCCTTAAACAGCAGCCTTTGTACTGGCCCAGTTATTCTCTTTAGATAGGAAGTGGAGCTCCTCCTTCAGAGCATACACTTTTAATATATATTCTTAAAACGTCTCTCCACAAAAGTTAACCTAGTTTACGTTCCTACTAAACCTTGCAGGTAAAATGAGTTTGTTTGTTTGTTTGTTTTTGAGAGAGTCTTGCTGTCACACAGGCTGTAGTGCAGCCGTGATCTCAGCTCACTGTAACCTCCACTTCCCGGGTTCAAGTGATTCTCCTGTCTCAGCCTCCCAAGTAGGTGGGATTATAGGCATGCACCACCACACCCAGCTAATTTTTGTATTCTTAGTAGAAACAGGATTTAACCATGTTGGCCAGGGTAGTCTAGAACTCCTGACCTCAGGTGATCTACCTGCCTAGGCTTCCCAAAGTGCTGAGATTACAAGCATGAGCCACTGCACCCGGCCTGTTTGTGTGTGTGTGTGTGTGTGTGTGTGTCTTTTTTTTAATATGACAATGTTGACACCATATGTTGCAGTATTTTTAATAACAGACGATAGGTAAACATCAGTCTCTCATTTGCATTATTACTGCTGAGCAGTAATAATTTAGTGTATTTAGCAATACATTTCTTTGGTAAATTACATTTTTCCTTAACCTATATTTCTGTTAGATGTTGGTATTTCTTACTAATTTCTAAAAATTCTTTAGATTGAGAAAATTAGCCCTTCAAATTAAATGGAAAGTATGTTGCAAATGTATTTTCTCATTTTATTGCTTACAGTGTTTTTGCCACCTCTGAGTTTTCTTTTTATTGCCCTGTCCATCTCTTTTTTGGTTTCTTCCTTGGTATCATACTTAGATTTTCATCCCCTAGGTTATATAAATACTTGCTTATATTTTCTAGTTATTTTTATGATTTTTTAAGTATTTTAAACATTAAATATTTAGCTGGCAGCTGTGTTTTGCATGTGGTATGACATAGATACATAACTTTACAGTTTTCAAATGGAAGATGGTTATCCTGACATCCTTTATTGAATATTCTATATTCTGGAGAGCTGCCATTTCCTCTTTGCCCAAGTGTTCTTAAAACCCTTTTGTTAAAGATCTCTTTGTTAATCAGACAAAGTGGAGGCTTTACTGTTAGTCAGTCACTATGTCAGTTGAGCTAGTTGGCTTTGTTGCTGTTGAGACAGAGGTCTCCAAATGTTGCCGAAGCTGGTCTGGGACACCTGGACACAAGGGAACCTCCTGACTCAGCCTGCCAAATAGCTTAGATTATAGGCACATGCTATCATGCCTGGCTAGTTTACTTCTTCAGCATTAAAAATGAGTGTTTTGGCTTGTCATCGACTCTTAGTTCAGTTTTCCCCTAGGAGTTTCCACACTCAAGAAAACCTGACTCCTTTCTGGTTTGTAACTATCATAGGGACACTAACAACTAAGAGAGGTCCCAGCCCTTCTCAGAAGCCATTCCTCCTCTAAGGTATTCCCAGGTATCTAGAGATACTTTAATATAAAATCCAAAATTGTATTTTAGCATAATGCTATTTATCAGTCAGTTGCCACTCCAGTATACCTGAGCCCTCTATAACTTACATGAAGTGACAATAAAGATCATTGTGAATCATAGTTACAAGTCCCTTATATCTGGACCCCATCTTCTCAGACTGACACATATCACTGAGTAGCAATCAAAAGGCTCTTAATGCTCCCTTAAGTATTTTTCTAATTGTCTAGGAAAGAATGGGGCTGGAGGAAAGAATCACAGGCCACTGATAATTATTTATATGGCTATCTTCCAAAGTATATGACCACTCCTTTCTGGGTTATCTTAGGAGAGCAGGGATGACGGGAAATGTGTATCTGACTACTGCCTTCTAAAATAATCCATGCCTCAGTATTTTCTACCTTGTTCTTATTCAGCCCAGTTCTTTTTTTTTTTTTTTTTTTTTTTAAAGATGGGGTTTCACCATGTTGGCCAGGCTGGTCTCAAACTCCTGACCTCAGGTGATCCCCACACCTCGGCCTCCCAAGTGCTGAGATTACAGGCGTGAGCCACCATGCCCAGCCCAGCCCAGTTCTCTCCACATTAATGCTTATTTTGTTATCAGATAATTAACAAAATAAGATCATACTTATTAAAAACTTGCCTGGTTTCCATTTTTTTCCCCACCTACTGATTACCTCACCCCCTGCTTAGATCAACATGCATATCTTCATACTTTGTTCATGATCTTCCTTGTCGTAAGTTTCCATCATGCTTATAGAGGTTACCTGCACAGTCTATCTGCGAAGGAAATTATTGATTCAGCAAGAACAGCATAGTTCAGTAGGTAACAGCAAAAAAAAACCTTAAATGTGCTATAACCTTATAACCTTAGAATCAGATCTGTGTCTAAATAGTCTTATCTGTGAGCAACCCTAGGCAAGTCAATATTTGTAAACTAGAATGCTCCATGCAAATATATGATATTATTATCAGTGGCAGGAATGTCATTACTACTAAGTAATTCCTTTATGTTTAGAGAATACAAGTAGCATATAGTGTGGACTGTAATTCCTGTTTTAAAAATGTTCTACTGTTTGGCCTGCGGAAATTAAAAAAAAAAAAGTTCCACTGTTTAAACATCAGTTGGAGTTGCTTAAACACCAGCTTCATAACTGAACTGCTCTAATACTTAATATGCATATTGCATTAAAAGTATATAGTAGGCCGGGCAAGGTGGCTCACACCTGTAATCCCAGCACTTTGGGAGGCCAAGGCAGGCAGATCATGAAGTCAGGAGATTGAGACCATCCTGGCTAACACAGTGAAACCCTGTCTCTACTAAAGGTACAAAAGAAGTAGCCAGGCATGGTGGCACACTCCTGTAGTCCCAGCTACTTGGGAAGCTGAGGCAGAAGAATCACTTGAACCCGGGAGGCAGAGGCTGCAGTAAGCCGAGATCATGCCACTGCATCCAACCTGGATGACAGAGCGAGACTCCATCTCAAAAAAAAAAATTACATTTTAGTCAGATCTTACTAGGTATAAAGAGAACTAACTAAAAAAATAAGAGTGAAGTGAATGGTGATAAAGGAAATACTTTGTATAATTTGAAGGTTTGGCAGCAAAAGGTCTTCACAACTATTTTTCTTTCAGTTACTTTTTGTACTTTACTTGCCCTATAGAAAAACAGTTATTTGGTATTTATAAAATGCCAACATTATAGTGAGAAATAAAGTTTCTGTATTCAGAAAGAAATTTAAATGATTGTTTAAATTCAATTCTTTGGTTTTTTTTAGACTGTACTTTCTGAATTTATCAAAATCGAAATGTTATTTCACGGCAAAGCTTTAGAGGTCTACACTGCTGCCTACCAGAATATACAAAACATTGATGAGGATGAAGATTTAGAGGTAGGACTATGTCTATCTAAGCTCAATTCTTCTTTAATGTGGAAATATTTTAAAAAGAACATTAGTTTGTATGTGATTAATATCTTAAATATGAACACTACAGTGGTTATTATGTGTAATCCAAAGCAGATGAACTTTTATGATTTTCCATTTATTTTCAACTTTTGAAAATAACCAGGGCAAAAGTTCGAGTTAATTTATTAATAGCTAGCAAAACATAATTTACATAAAGCCATTTAATAAAATACTGTGTATCAATTTTTGACTGGTGATATAAGCCCACTTAAGTGTGCTAAAAAATAATTAACATTTATGGACTTCAGTAACATTTGAGTGTTTGTTTACCTCATGCACAATGCCCAAAACTTTAGATGCATCTTCTCATTCAAACCTCAAAATCCTACAACTACAGCAATAGGCTTAGAGGATTGAAATAACTTATTTGTGGCCACTTAGTCAGTAAATGGAATCAGGATTCTGACTGTGTAACTTAATCAGTAAGCTATGAAATAAATGTATTCATAGCTTGCTTTATGTAGGCTTGCTTTATGCCAATGGTTTTAGTTAAATGTAAATAATTCTGATTGGCCAACTAACATTAGAGCAAGTAAGTATCAAAGCCTGGTCCTCAATGAGCAATTCTGTAAATATCCAACCCTCTTACCTTCCAAAAGGGAAAAAAAAGGTACGAAAGTATTTATGCTGAAGTAAACTATTCAAGACATACTTTCCCTATTTCATCTCTAAGGTAGAAATGAAAAAAGCCATGTAATCTCACCATATAACAAGAATTCTGTATTAATAAAATATGGGAGTGTCCACAATTTGACAAATTTGAAGATTCCCAGAATTTTTTTTTTTTGGTATCTTTTCTTCTTCCCTTGAGATAGTGTCTTGCTCTGTCACCCAGCTGAGTGCAATTTTGGCTCACTGCAACCTCCATTTCCCTGGTTCAAGTGATTCTCCTGCCTCAGCCTCCCAAGTAGCTAGGATTATAGGAGCCCGCCACCACACCCAACTAATTTTTAGTAGAGATGAGGTTTCACCATGTTGGCCAGTCTGGTCTCAACAATTCTCATGATCCGCCCACCTTGGCCTTCCAAAGTGCTGGGATCACAGGCACCCAGCCTAATTTTTTTGGTATCTTAACTGTCAGTAAAGAGATCCACTGAGCCTTCTCGACCCATTACTCCATGGGCTCCAGGAAACTTAAGTAAAACCAGAATATAGGTTAAAGAAATGAAGAAAAGTACATGTTACAGTATGTGTATAAATGTTTCCAACCAAATCTGGTTTATATTAGTTATATATACATATTTATATTTCTCTATTTGTCAGTAATGACTCTCCAAGTGTTATTTCAAAATACCTACAGCTAAGGTTTCTTAACTTTCACTCCTTTTCATGTCCTGCTTTTAAGAATTGATTATCGGCTGGGCGCGGTGGCTCATGCCTGTAATCCAAGCACTTTGGAGGCCAAGGCAGGCAGATCACCTGAGGTCGGGAGTTCAAGACCAGCCTGACCAACATGGTGAAACCTGTCTTTAAACAAAATAAAAATAAAAATAAAAACTGATTATCAAGGCCAGGCGCAGTGGCTCATACCTGTAATCCCAGAACTTTGGGAGGCCAAGGCAGGTGGATGACCTGAGGTTAAGAGTTTAGACCAACCTGGCCAACATGGTAAAACTCTGTCTCTACTAAAAATACAAAAATTAGCTGGGCTTGGTGGCGGGTGCCTGTAATCCCAGCTACCTGGGAGGCTGAGGCAGAAGAATCACTTGAACCTGGGAGGCAAAGGTGCAGTTAGCTGAGATTACACCACTGCACTCCAGCCTGGGTGACACAGTGAGACTCCATCTCAAAAAAAAAAAAAAAAATTATCAAGCTTTCATCTGTCACTTACAATAGTAAATGTTTATATAATGATTATTTTGAGTCAGCTACTGATCTTTGCATTTTAACTATAATATTTTAATCCTCTCAACAACTTTGATAAAAATACTTATTCTCATTTCTATGGACGAGAAAACTGAAGCACAGTGAGGTTAAGAAACTTCCCAGAGATCTCATAGCTAGTAAGCAGCAGAGCTGAAAGTCTAAGCCACAAGTTTGACTACAAAGTCCATTATACTTTAATTCTCTCTACATTAGACTTCCAAAAGTATGGTTCTTGATGAGTGACATTAACCATTTCCTGCAAGAAATAACACTGCATTGAGTGGCAGATTCAACAGTGATCCACCAGTTCTCCTTCAAGAGTGTAGTCCACTTTATAAGTATTTTCATTCTTTTTATAATACCTTTGACATGCTATTTATTACCTGAAATTAAAGTTCCTTCAAGCCCTTCAGACCCCAAGATTTTCCTTCTCATCCCAGAGGTCCTAATTCTTCTAATACCTTTGACATGCCATTTGTTAACTGACATTAAAGTTCCTTCAAGTCCTTCAGTCCCCAACATTTTCCTTCTCATCCCAGAAGTCCGAGAAATTCACACTTCCTTTGTAACTTCTTACCACTGCTCTTAATCAGCCATCTAAGTAGTTTGTGGAAGAAGAGCTCTATGTAAAACTAAAGGTCTCAGGAATATGTGGTATATGTGTTTTTTTAATATCATCTCCCCTACTTTCTAATGAAGTAATACTGAGCAAGTTAACTTCTTCACTCGTCAGCTTCCTCCTTTCTAAAATGTAGATAGTGTAGTAGTTACCTCATATAGTGTTTGTTCAACTGTTTATTGTGCACCTCATATACACTAAGCACCATTCTAAGTGTGAAGTATTTAGCATTCTAAGTTAGAAATGGTCCAAGTTAGTCAAAGCAATAACTTTAAATGTACCAGGCAATTCAGATCCCCCCCCCCAAAAAAACAACTGTGTAATGATTTTTTTATAATATGACCAGTCCCGTAAAGAAAAAAAAAAAGTGTGTTGTGTGTGATGGGATTCTAAATAGTCTGTAGAATCAGAGTGATTTCTTAATTAGAATTCTGAGGGATGCCTAGGAGGATACCTGGCAAAAACTTTCAGGTAGAGGGCATACATAGATATACAAAGGTCCTGAGGCAGGAGTGTTTTAAAGAAAGAACAGTATATTTAAAACAACATAATTGAAGAATCATGGTCTATATTGGGAAAAAAACAGAACAACACAATATAGGTCATAAGCACGTGTTCAAAGAACCATGGGCATAAACTATTTATTATGCCACATAGCAACTGTGGAGAGAGCAGTCTGGGGAGAATTGTGGGACCGGGGGAAGTAACTAATTGATATAAATGATATATCATATTAAACAGGTACCTACCAAGAGGAGAAAGGATCCTGTAAATACAAGGTTTCTTGGAAAGAAGTAAAGAAAACATGTAGAAAAAGACTGAGAAATTATTTGCTATTCTTCCAGACAGTCCATGCTTTTTAAGGACCACTGAGATTTATTCCAGCTGCAGCCAGTGTTTCATAGTTAGGCACCTCTAGTTATATCACAAACCATCTTACCTTACTTGTTCTTCACATAAGTATTGTCAGGTCACCTCTATATTAACTTCAGAGCACATTCAGATCTTGAGAATCACTCTTAGAAGACATCTTGGACCATGTCGGAAAATGCATTATTGCCAAAAAACTGAAGTAAAAGATTAATTTTAATAAATATTTAACTGGTATAGACTTGTATCCCAAGGGTTACATACTGCTTTTCATTTCCCACTTTAAATTCAATCTTTGCTAGAAAAGTTAGAAAAGTTATAAAGGAACGTTTTAACAAAAATATATCTTCTCCAAATACCAGTTGATTAGTGAGTCATTGCATTTTTATATCACACTAGGATGTCAGTGCTCCAAGTCTGGCACCAAAATAGAATTGGGTCCTTGGTAACCTGTTAACCTAATTAGCACCCCTGAATTCCTTTAAAATACATGTCTCAAGTCCTATCTTTTATCCTTGATTCCTTTCGTGTCCTATAGTTCTCTTAAAGAAATGTGTAGCCATCCCCTAATTTGGGTCTCCTTTTACCCCCAATAGAAGATGTTTATTAAATTCACTTTTGCCAAATGACTGTTGGCAAAACATTCATTTGGCAAAAGTGAATTTAATTAACATCTTCCATTTGCCAGGGAGGAGTTGCATAGATAAAACAGGGCTCCCTTGCTCTAGAGAACTTATGACTAGCTGAGACAGATAATGTAATCAACTACAAAACACTGAGTTAAAAGCAATACTTGAGGTTATGAACAGTAGGAACTATTAAGACAATAGGAGGAAGCATAAGAAAGATGGAGTTTTATATTGTTCTTGAAGGACAAGTAAGTTTGCTGTAATTCTAGGCTAAAGAACCAGCATTGCAAAGGCCTAGTATAACTTATGTTCTGCATTTACAGTCAAGAGCCACAGAAAGTTTTAGAATAAGTAGGCTGAGCGTGGTGGCTCACACTTGTAATCTCAGCATTATGGGAGGCTGAAGCAGAATTCCTTGAGGCCAGGAGTTTGAAACCAGCCTGGGCAACATAGCAAGACGCTGTACAAAAAAAGAAAAAATTAGCCAGAGTGCACCTGTGGTCCTTCTGCATTGAGTGGCAGAGGGACCACTCAGGAGGCTGAGGCAGGAGAATCACTTGAGCCCAGCAGTTTGAGGATACAGTGAGCCATGACTGTATTACTGCAGTTTAGCCTGAGTGACAGAGTGGCTCCCTGTCTAAAAGAAAGAGAGCAATAACTTTTGGCATTAATTAAAAAGTAAGCTATAAAAGGTATGTAGAGTCAGTAAAAGTGCCTCAGGTGAGAAACGTGTGTGTGTGTATTTTTTTTTTTGAAACCAGGTCTCCTCCTTTTGCCTGCTGGTATGCAGTGGCACAATCACAGCTCACTGCAGCCTTGACCTCTGAGCTTAGGTGATCATCCCACCTTAGCCTCCCAAGCAGCTGGAATTGTAGACATGTCCAATATGACTAATTTTTGTATTTTTTGTAGAGATGGAGTTTCGCCATGTTGCCCAGGCTGGTAATGAACTCCTGTGGCTCAAGCGATCTGCCTGCATTGGCCTCCTAAAGTGTCGGGTGAGAAATTTAGGAAGAATGGCCAGGCTTATAGCTTGGTCTTCTAGGTAAAGATAATGTCTTTCATTATAATAGCTAATCTAGAGCTATACTGTTTAGTAAAGTAGCCACTAGGCATATATGACTATTTAAAGTTCAATTAATTTAAAAATTCAGCTCCTCAGCCACATGAACCACATTTCAAGTGCTTAGTAGCTACACATGGCCAGTGGCTACATTTTTGGACAGCACACAATAGCAATCATTTCCATCATCTCAGAAAGTTCTACTGGACAGTGCTAATCTAGAGCAGGAGATAGTTGGGAGCATGAATACAGCTGTCACAGGGTATGCTTGTCAGGGGATTAGTTGAAGGGTAGTCATTAACGGTGTAAATATATCTTTGAGAGAAACTTCTTTGAGACAGGGTCTCGCTCTGTCACCCAGGATGGAGTGCAGTGGCATGATCTCGGTTAACTGCAACCACTGCCTCCCAGACTCAAGTGAATCTCCTGCCTCAGCCTCCCAAGTAGCTGGGACTACAGGCATGCACCACCACCACTGGCTGATTTTTTTTTTTAATTGTTTGTAGAGATGGGGTTTCGCCATGTTGCCCAGACTAGTCTCAAACTCCTAGGCTTAAGTGATCCTCCTGCCTTGGCCTCCCAAAGTGCTGGGATTATAGGCATGACTCACTGTGCCCAGCAGCATTGTTTTTATAAAGTGGCCTAAAGGAAACCCTTTAAAAGTATTTTAGGTTTAAGTAGTAGAAAAGGAGATGTAAAGAAACAAGCCGGGCGCAGTGGCTCATGCCTGTAATCCCAGCACTTTGGGAGGCCGAGGCGGGTGGATCACAAGGTCAAGAGATCAAGACCATCCTGGTCAACATGGTGAAACCCCGTCTCTACTAAAAATACAAAAAATTAGTTGGGCATGGTGGCTCGTGCCTATAATCCCAGCTACTCAGGAGGCTGAGGCAGGAGAATTGCCTGAACCCAGGAGGCGGAGATTGTAGTGAGCCACGATCGCGCCATTGCACTCCAGCCTGGGTAACAAGAGCGAAACTCCGTCTCAAAAAAAAAAAAAAAAAACCAGAAATTGAGAAGCTAGGACAATGAAAGAACTTAGTAGCATGTAAGTTTCAGGAAGGGGGTCAATGAGGAAGAGAAAAAAAAGACCTTGATGATTTGGGCAAGAGCAATTTTAGTGGAAGTGAAAAGCTCAATTGTAGTTTGTTGAAAAATAAATGGAAATTTCTTAGAAAAAAATGGAGATGAAGTCAAATATTCAAAGTCTTTTAAGAAGTTATACCTTGAGGTAATTAAAAAGAGAGAGAGACTGATCTTGACCTTGTTTTCTAGGAGAGGGAACCTGTGGAAAACAAAAACTTTTGTTTGTTGGTTGGGTTTGAAGTTTTGATTAGAAAAATGCACATTGGAAATAAATCAGAATTGTATTTTAAGAAAGAAAAGGAAAAGGAGGGGCAAAAAGCTTGAGGAAAAGAGGAAAGTTGAAGAGACTGACATCTGATAACCTTACCTACTAGTCTATTAGAGAAATGGTGGGAGTAGGATAGAAAAGATGGAGATAGGCAGGCTTAAGAGTAACATTTGGAAATAGTGCCTTAAGGAAAGAGAGCTGAGAAGTCATGGCATTCCAGATACTAGTTAAGGTTGGAATCCATAAATTATAGTGGTTCCAATTTACTCTAAGGTGATTTTCCATAGCAGTACTGCGGTGAAGTTAAATTAGTAACAGTTGAAAATATGAGGAACAGAGAGAATCAAAGGTGTGAGCCGCAGCCTCCCTACTAGCTTGCATGCTCTTTAAGGGTCTGAACTTTTGCAGTTCTCCTGGCAAAAGCATTTAAATGATTGTTTCATGACTAATTTATATCTGCCATCATCTTACATAGTTCAAACATAATTTTTAGCTTTCATCTTTCTAACTTATTTTTTTGTTTTACATTTGTAATAACTGGAATTTTGTCCATTTGGGGGGAGTTGTTTAAAAAAAATTTTAACTAAAGAACTTGACTGTCTTTTATCATCTACTTTATATTTTTATCATTACAATAGGTTTTCCGAAATTCTCTGTATGCACCAGATTATTCATCTCGTTTAGATATTGTAAGAGCAAATTCAAAGTCACCTCTTCAGAGATCACTGTCAGCTAAGTGTGTATCTGGAACAGGACAGGTGAGTAAGAAACCATAATCTAAAGGAATTTGAGCTGCTGCCTTTGGAATTGTTGAGTTCTAAAAATGTTTCCCCTCGGTCATCACACCTCATGTAACTTATTCTCCCCAGACCTACTTCCTCTTCTATAAAATGACCGAAGATTCCACTAGGTGCAGCTGTTATTTCTTAAGTATCTTTTACACTGTAATTTATATGTAATAAAGCATAACACTTGAGAGCAGAAGTGAAAAAGAAGAATACTAATGCAGATGTGTTATCTGCTATAATATGAAAACCACAGATTCTGAAGTCAAACTCAGGTTTAAATCTGTCAAGACTTAGTGGATCTGATTAAATTATAAATATAAATTTAATACTGAATTATACCAATAAAGGGCTTTTGCTGAATACAGAAATCATTTCATTTTTTTCTATATCCAGAAAGCCTGAGTTTCCCAGTATCTAGAGCAGGTTCTTTTTCTGTAAGATGTGGAGACTAAATGCCTTAGGCTTTGTGGACCATATGGTTTCTACCCAACAACTATAAACACATAAAGCAGTGTGACTGTGTTCTAATAGAATTCTATTTACAAAAGCAGGAGGCTGGCTGGGCCACAACTTGCCAAACCCTTTTTTTCATATCTAGCCTTCAGAATACAAAATTCAGCAAACTGTTTTCAAAATACAACTTTTAGGTATACGACTTTTAGGTAAATAAAAGTTGTATTTTGAAAACAGTTTCTCGGCTGGGTACGGTGGCTCACGCCTATAATCCTAGCACTTTGGGAGGCTGAGGTGGGTGGATCACCTGAGGTCAGGAGTTCAAGACCAGCCTGGCCATCATGGTGAAACCTCATCTTAATTTAAAAAAAAAAAATTCTCATTTCTCTTTTCTATTTGATTTTCATTTGATTCTCCTCTAAGCATTTGTTTTACACGTATATCTCTCCCAACCCAATATTTTTATTATTCCAGCATTAAGTACCTTGAACATAAATTTCATAAATTCACTTGTATAGTACATATTAACATTTTGACTACAACTAATATTGTTACCTTAATTAACACTTGTATAGCACTTTAGAATGCTTTATCCCTAGGTTTCTCAACCTCAGCACTACTGACTTTGGGACAAATAATTGGGCCCACAAGGGAGGAAGAAGGGGACGGAGTATTCTCCTGTATATGGTAAAGATATTAAGCAGATAATGGGCCGGGCGCGGTTGCTCAAGCCTGTAATCCCAGCACTTTGGGAGGCCGAGGCGGGTGGATCACGAGGTCAACAGATCGAGACCATCCTGGTCAACATGGTGAAACCCCGTCTCTACTAAAAATACAAAAAAAAATTAGCTGGGCATGGTGGCGCGTGCCTGTAATCTCAGCTACTCAGGAGGCTGAGGCAGGAGAATTGCCTGAACCCAGGGGGAGGAGGTTGCGGTGAGCCGAGATCGCGCCATTGCACTCCAGCCTGGGTAACAAGAGCGAAACTCTGTCTCAAAAAAAAAAAAAGCTAAGCAGATAATAACATCCCCAGCCTCTACCCAGAAGATGCCAGTAGCACACGTAAACACACAGCCCCAATAGTGACAAACAGCATCTCCAGACATTTCCTATTGTCCCCTGGGTTAGACATAATCACCCTCAGAGAAGTTTTAAGCAACATACCCCATGTGCAGCAGTCAAGCAACTTAAAGCTGGTGAATTCAGATTCTCAATCCTCATTCCATTTAAATCACATTACTTTTATATCAGTATTTCTGTCCCACTCCCTAGCTGAAATATCCTTCTATTTTCGCCATTTAATGATTCTCAAATACTGTTTTTATGAGCCAAAATTTGTTGTTAACATAATATGCTGAGTTTATACTTTTTTCTTGAGACGGAGTCTCGCTCTGTCATCCGGGCTGGAGTGCAGTGGAACAATCTCAGCCCACTGCAACCTCTGCCTCCTGTGTTCCAGTGATTCTCCTGCCTCAGCCTCCCAGGTACCTGGGACTAATACAGGCATGCGCCACCATGCCCAGCTAATTTTGTATTTTTTTTAGTAAAGATGGGGTTTCACCATGTTGGCCAGACTGGTCTCAAACTTCTGACCTCAGGTGACCCACCCACCTCAGCCTACCAAAGTGCTGGGATTACAGGCATGAGCCACTGCGCCCAGCCTGAGTCTATACTTTTAAGGTAATGTTTTTGAAGTATTGATGGCTATCCAACTAGAATCAAATGGTTAATTATACATTTTTATTCAAAAAAATATGAATGAAAAAACTGACTTCTAAGCTTAAAATTCATAGGGAATTTTCACTACTAAAAGTTACGACATATGGACATTTTTCTGAAATATTTGTTGTGTGCCCTTCGCTATAATAGCATAAAAAGATACCAAGCATGTAAAATTTTTTTAGTATCTTTATTTTTAAAAATGTGTTAACTTTTAACAGGTATCCACTTGTCGACTAAGAAAGGATCAACAAGCAGAATATGATGAGGATGAAGAGTTAGATGCTACAGAAGAAGAAAATTAATTGTCTTAACTACATGTTTCCATTTTCATCATAAATGACATGAAATACACACTGACTAAATTGTAGAACTTTATACTCACTTTGATATGTTAAGCCTCAAAATGAAGACCAACTAATGGAAACTTATGCTGACCACAAATGAAGGCTTGAATCCTACCTAGTGTTATGTGATTTTTGTGTTAAGTACCATTCTTTTTAAAAGATGGTATATTTCAAAGTATTTCATATTAATGCACTATATCTACTTGAAGTTCCAATAGTACATTACAACAGAAATCAAAAGATCTAACAATTCCACTTAGCTTCTTTTAGGTTAAGACTCCATGCTTTCATAATCCCAGAAAAGGGTCCTAAGTTGTCATTCTGATTACATGTAATTATATTCCATGAAGCCTTAAGAAAAAAAGATTTTTTTATGCTTTCCCTAAATTTTTGTTTTATTGTTTGATAAGTAAAATTTACTTTTCAAGAAGAGTATAATCAAAGAGTAAAGATAATGTGACACTAAGGTACCAGTGTTTGATGTTTACACATAAAGCATAAATTTCAACTGTAAAAAGAGCCACATTGAATCTGACTCTGGTTTTAAAACTGCTGTCATACTTATACACGATACTGCAACTTTTGGAAGGCTAGAAATTTGGTGGAGTGTTTTCTCATCACAGAATACCATAAACCATTAAAAACTCTGGCCGGATGCGGTGACTCACACCTGTAATGCCAGCACTTTGGGAGGCCAAGGCGGTTAGTAGTTTGAGACCAGCCTGGCCAACATAGTGAAACCCCGTCTCTACTAAAAATACAAAAATTAGGTGGGCGTGGTGGCACATGCCTGTAGTCCCAGCTACTTGGGAGGCTGAGGCAGAAGAATCACTTGAACCCAGGAGGCAGAGGCTGCAGTGAGCCAAGATCACACCACTGCACTCCAGCCTGGTGACAGAGCAACACTGTCTCAAAAAAAAAAAAAATTCTGTAAGAATTTTACCAAGCTACCATATAGTTAATTAAAGGGTATAGTCACTTTTATTTCTGAAAAACATAAAACAATTGGAGCCTTTCAGTGTATCTGATGCTTCTGTCTCTTTTGGTAAGTAATTATACTTTTATTTCATGGATACCAGGCAGGCATATAAAAGTTAAAGAATTTATAAAATCATTTGGGATAATTCAAAAATGCAGTTATTCATAACAGAAAAATAAAGACTTTCTAGAAAGTTTTTGACTTTGTCATTCATGGCTCTGTTCTTAACAAAGCACTCTTTCCTGAGAACAGTCCTAAGTGACAAAGTTACTTCAGTAGTTTTTTGTAAAATATTTAAAACATTTAAAAACCATAAATATTCTTAAGAAAAAGATATCATTGGATATTCACTACTTCCTCACTCAGTATTTAAATTTGGTGGTGTAATCTGGGGGAAAACAGCAGTTACTGTATCTTGCTGCTTACTAAATGTGAAGAGCAACTTCTCTTGAGCATTATTTGCCTTGTTGGTAAAGTTAAAACTGCATAAAACAGTAATTCTGGAATAAAATATACGTTCTGCCTACCTCAAAGAAATACTCTAAGAACAAAAGGAATACTATCCATGAAAATACTTTCATTAATGTAAAATTTTCATTAATTAGACCATTAAATATTTTACTATCTGCCAACCTAGGTCTGGTCTAATTTTTAAAGGGCCAGATAGTAAATATTTTTACTTTGTGGGTTGAGGCAAATTCAAGACTATTAATAAGGGTACTTATGTAACCATTTAAGACTTAAATACACTTAAAAATGTAAAAAAAAAAAAACATTCCTAGCTTTCCACTGCCACAATAGGCAACCAATCCAACCAACCCAGCCTGTTAAGTCTCCTTATCTATTATCTCCAAACTAGGAATACAAATTGAGTATCCTTTATCTGAAGTGCTTGAGACCAGAAATATTTAAGATTTTTTATTTCTTCAGGTTTTGGAGTATTTGCATTATACCATTTCAACATTCCTAACCCCAAAATTTGAAATCTCAAATGCTGCAATGAGCATTTTTTGAGCATCATGTTGACACTGAAAAAGTTTGCGATTTTCAGACCATTTGAAATTTCAGATTTCCAGACTAGGAGTACTTGACCTGTAGTACATTTACTAGGATTATCAAAATTAAATAGTTAATTCATAATTATACATCATATAATATCTAATACAGCTCAATAAACAGCTTGTATTTACTGCAAAAACAAAGGCAGCAAGGTCACTACTTAACAGGCGATAACATGGCTCAAGAACCACAGCTCTGAACAGTGTTCTCAGAAAATTGATAGAAAAGCACTCCTAATATAATTTTTACCTATCTTGGTTGTGGAATTGCCTTTCTAGACACGATCTCCATTTTTTTAGATAATTTCTAGGCAAAAAATGTATGGCTTTAAGACAAATGCCACTGGATATCAGACTAGAAAATATGCCTCCAGTGTACCTGATATACCTTCAGGATAGGAGAGGAAAAACTGGCTATAAGATTATATGAGATGATAATACTGAAGCTGAGTGATGTGTATATGGAAATTTATTTTTATGTTTGAAACTGATAAGGTGCTGGGAAGCTGGCTCTCTGAGGGGACAACGGGAGGGGAATGCCTTGATTTGCTGCAATTTCTATGGTGTAAATACTCCTGCCATGGTCAATTTCTTATTGACATATCACTAAAGGCAGAGTTGGGGAGAGATGTGCAAAGATGGCTCCCAATTAGAATATACCACTTTCTGTAATAAACTTTTTACAATAAAGTTTAAAAATACTAAACCATGATATGTTAAGGAGTAAAAGGAAATATTCACATCAATTAATTTAAAAATCAAAATATAAGGCTGGGCACAATGGCTCACACCTGCAAACCCAAAACATTCTGGGAGACCAAGGAGGGAGGATTGCTTGAGGCCAGAAATTCCAGAACAGCCTGGGCAACACGGTGAGACCCTGTCTCTCCAAAAAAATTTAAAACTTAGCCAGACAAGGTGGCACACACCAGTAGTCCCAGCTTTCACGAAGATGAAGCAGAAAGACAGCATGAGCCCAGGAGTTGGAGGCTGCAGTGAACCATTATCAAACCACTGCACTCCAGCCTACCCAACAGAACAACTCTGGCTCTTAAAATAATAAAATAAAACTACAAAGCTTATGTTTAGTATAGCCAGGCTCTTATCTGCCACCTCAGCCCAGTTTGAAAAGCAATTCCACAGTAAATAATCTCTCACATAAAGCTTCTTAGCTTTATTCCTTTGTATTTGAGAAGTCTTTTTTAACTTTCCATATATTATTCAAGATGGCTGACCAAATGAACCATCTATACAATCTTTGCTCAATTAAAAATATTTCTTTCTTTCTTCACTGTGCTTGGTTTCGATATTCCAAACAATCAATTTAACGTTATCCTAGCTACTTACAAGCTTATCAAGAATCATACTGAGGTGCTTTTTTGTATCAAATTTACCTGTTTATTCATTCTATAGTGAACAGATTTTGTTTATTCACTATTTAAAACCAAGAAATTTAATCAGATTTTTCTTAGATTTCCTTAAATCACTGAAAAGTAACACCAAAAATACATAAGGTACTAACTGATTAATTACTGACAAAGTGTTCTACCTATGCAATATCCTTAAATTACCATATGTAAATTTAACTGTATTCTTATTTACTCAACGTGTTAAATCTGGATTACAGAACTGAGGAAAATTATGTTTTATGTAAATTATAAAAGGCCAACCAAAGTCAATCATGTCAAATAAAATGAACAATTCTGAAACAGAAGCCAGTAATATACAATGTGAGTATCCCCAGAGAAACCCTGAATATAAAGAAACTTTTAAAGTCACTCACTTTTTTTCAATTAACAATGTTTGAGCATGCTGGTTTTACCTTTTTTAATGCTAATTTTAAACCAATAATTGAAATAAGAAAATATCACTTATCTTTGCAAGTTATCTTTTAGCATGGATTCCTAATTTAAAATACCATTTAAAAAAGTGAGGCAACAAAGGTAAGCATGAACTGGAGTCAGTGGTCTGGGTTGAAATTGGCCCCATGATTTAATACCTGTGACTTCAAGCAAGTTGCTTAATCTCCCACTTCATTATCTCATTTGTGAAACAGAGGTAAATAATTAACCCTGTACTCATAGGGAATACTGAGATTATGCATATAAAGTGCTTACAGTGCCTAGCACATAGTAAGTGCCTGTTAGCCATAATATTATTATGGGTATAGAAAATCAAATTTCCTATCTGAGAAATGTATGCACTAAATGCTGAATATCTAAGAAGTCAAAATTCAACCACACAAGTCTTAGTTATGGAGTCTTTGCATGGATACAAAGTTTTGAAGCTAAAAAATGAGAACCTAGTATTACATGCAAGTTATGTGACTCATCAGTAGATTCTTCCTAGAAAAACAAACTACCATTTGTCAGATTCTTCCCAGCATAAGCCCGAGTCCCCTTGCACCTACAATTAGATTCTTATTTTACTGTCTTTTGAATATGTTGTATTATTCTTATTTTGTTAAGATGTCGAAGAAACCATGGGATTACACACAGCACTATACATTATTATTATAGAATGTCTGGTCCCTCTCATCAGAAATATGGTTTAATAAAGCTATTGAAAAACTTCACAATATCAAGCTGCAATTCTTTTTTCTTTTTATACAAATACAAGTTAATTAGTTGCTCTATTAAGTTGCAATTTTATTTTTATAAAACTTTGTAAAGTTTTGAACATGGAAACCCTAAGAATCACCTAAGCTTTTTACATAAGTAAATTTCAAGTTGACTGTCCATTTTGAACTATTTATAATTAACAGGACACTTAACACAGTAATATCTCAGACAAGAAAGAGGGCGTTAATTCTGCAGGCAGGTAGCAATGAAAATGCCAAACCTGAACAGTCAGTCACTATTTCCTTACATAGTTTGAGTAAAAAATGTAGACTACAGAATGAAAAAAAAGTGAAATGTAACTTCCCCAAATACAACTCTACTTCAGTGAGTCTTGAAGCTTACCCATGACATCAACAAAAATGAATGAACTCAGGGAATTCTTTCTCACCATCAAAGAAAAGAACAGCATGTATAATTTTAAATTAGAAAAAAAATGAATGGCAATTTGCAAGCAAAAGAAAACCAGATTCACATTCTACTATTTACATTTGTTCTATTCACAGGTCAAAATTAAAACACTTCACTAGATTAAAAAAAAAAAACACCTTTTAAAAACAAATGTATTTTACTCTATCAATACTGCAAGGAAGATAACTGAATTTAGAAATGCTCTCTATAGCAAAGTTAATTTAACTTTTCGGGGCCCAACTGGCCTATCATTTAGATCTTTAATAGCAGCCATAGCTTCATTATAGTTTATCATAGCAACAATGGCTTCCCCTGTAGGTAAGCCTTGCTCATTATACTGTATTGAAACTGAATCAGGTATGATTCTGTAACCATGGAAAAAGTCTAAAATTTCATTAACATTAGCTTTAAATGGAAGATTCATTATCTTAATAGGAGTTACTCTACCTGAACCACAATTTATCTTTGGATCAGGAATAAATCTCCCCTCAGCAAAACTTCCCATATTATGCTTTCCAAAATCAAACTTGCCACCTTCTGGGCGACCAAAATTCACAAAAGGGCGGTGACTTCTGAAATCATCAGGCGGGCTCCTAAAATCCTCACCAGGAGGTCTAAAATTGTCAGGAAGTCTAGGGTCCTCCTCCAGAGCTTCCCTAAGGTCTTCCTCTGGGAGCTGCCTGAAGTCCTCATCAGAAGGGCATCTAAAATCTTCCTCTTGGGGGTTCCTGAAGTCCTCATCAGGTGGGTGCCTAAAGTCTTCATCGGGAGGGCTCCTGAAATCTTCATCTGGTGGGTGCCTGAAATCTTCCTCTCGAGAGCGCCTGAAATGCTCCTGAGGCGGACGCCTGAAATGCTCCTGAGGCGGACGCCTGAAATGCTCCTGGGGCGGTCTCCGGAAGTGCTCGGGGGGCGGCCGCCTGAAATGCTCCGGGGGCGGCCGCCGGAAATGCTCCGGGGGTGGCCGCCTGAAATGCTCCGGGGGTGGCCGCCGAAAATGCTCCGGGGGTGGCCGCCGGAAATGCTCCTGAGGTGGCCTCCGGAAATGCTCCTGGGGTGACTGCCTGAAGTCCTCCTCAGGGGAGTGCCTGAAATCCTCCTCTGGGGGCCGCCTGAAGTCATCCTCGGGTGGTCGCCTCCATTCTCCCTGAAGAGGCCGCCTGAAGTCCTCCTCTGGGGGCCGTCTCCAGTCCTCCTCGGATGGCCGCCTGAAATCTTCCTCTGGGAGCCGCCTGAAGTCCTCCTCAGGAGGTTGCCTGAAGTCCTCCTCAGGAAGCTGCCTGAAGTCCTCCGTGGGAGACCGCCTGAAATCCTCCTCCAGTGGCCGCCTCCAATCCTCCTCAAGGGGCCTCCTCCAGTCTTCCTCCCTAGGGTGCCTGAAGTCATCCTCCGGAGGGCGCCTGAAATCTTCCTCCCAAGGGCGCCTGAAGTCCTCCTCAGAAGGCCGTCTGAAGTCCTCTTCCCGAGGTCGCCTGAAGTCCTCTGGGGAACGCCTGAAGTCCTCCGGGGGAAACCTGAAATCCTCTGAGGAGTGTCGGAAGTCTTCTGGAGGGTGCCTGTCAGGCTGCCGGAAATCCCTCTGGGGATGCTTGAAGTTATCCAGTTGCCTCAGGTCCTCCAGCTGATGTCTAAAGCTTTCAAAAGGACCAACTGAGTATATTGGTGGGTCTTTTGAGTCAAATAAATGGGAATGATCACTTCGCTCACGTGACTGTGAACGAGCTTGCATCTTCTCACTGGACATCAAGGAAAAATTTACACCAAACTCCTGCATTTGTGCGTCAGATATAAGTCTTAATAATACCTCTGTCCCTAAGAATCTTCGTCGGTTTAAACGTTCAGCTTTCATGGCCTGTTCTTCTGATTTAAATTTCACTAATGCTTCTCCCAGACCAACACCTTTGTCATCATAAAGCAAGCAAATGTCATCCTCGGCAAGAAGAAAGTCTGCAAAGAACTTCTGCACTTCAACTTTTGTAACATCAAATGGAAAATTTCTTATATAGATGCATAGCTTCTGGCCAGAGTTACCTTCTTGAGAGTATTTCTGTGAAACATGTCCAGGCCTGTCTCTCTCTAGTGACCCTGATCTCTTCTTTTCATAACGTGCAATGAACTTCAGCATTTGTTTTCTAGAAATTGGATCAATATGAACGGGACGATACTGTAAAACAGTCTTATGTAAACTCAGAGCAGTATTGTAGTCTTTCAGAGTCTTGAACCTCACAAAGGCATATCTTGTTCTATTTTCATCTTTATATAAAAATCTAATCTGTTCATCAGTCAGATCAGTCCCTCTAAAGAAATTTCTTAAATCTCTTTCATCAATACTGAGGGACAGATTTTTTAAGTGAACATAAAATCCAAGAGGGGAACGAGAACGTGTCCTTCTGGGAGATTTTGAATGAGATCGTTTTCGAAAATGTCTATCATTAATTCCTCTTGGTGGAGAATGTTCTTCAGATCTCCTAAGAATGTCACCCTCCTTAACTGCATTACCACCAAACTCAATCCACTGTTGTTCTGATCCTTGCATTACTTCTATAAATCTTGAACCCATAAAACTTCTATGACATTTAAGACCTCCGGAAGCATCAACGCAGGAAGCAAATTTTACTATGGCATCACCATTATTTCGGCCATCATGATGTTTTAAGAAAATTACTCCATCCACACACAAACCAGAGAAAAAGACACGTACATCATCTTCATTTACTAGGTAAGGCAAACCTCGTAGAAACAAGTAAGGATTCTCAGCCTTCAATGGCCTTGTCTTTCTTGGCCTTAAATTACCATGTCCTGTACCATTAGTATGAAACCCAGCATCTTGATTAATTGAAGAGCCATATCCAGAATTACTTGCTTCTTCCTTAACAGACTCAATAAAATGGGACAGGCTGCCAACCCCTGATGCCCCAGATCGTGGGCGCCCTCTTCCTACACGATCAGTTCTTTTCATGTCTATAGTCTTCTGCATTTCTGCCTTGCTACTAAGAAAGAGCTCTACAGATGAATCCTTGATAAACCCTCCTGAACGACTTATGGCACGTCTTGCATCTTCATCTGTTGCAAAAATAATAAAAGCCTCCCCAATTTCCCCTCCAATTATATGCACTCCTCCATCAGGAATAGTCAATCCCGTGAAGAAGTGACGAATATCCACAGGCCCCGCAATAAAAGGAAGCCCCAGTAAACGGATGACTACAGCCATGCTGAGCTCAAACCACAGCAATAATGACCTGCAGACAAAAAGGTACACATAATAGCAAGTCTTATTTTTGAAGTACCTTAGCCCAAACTAAGCTTAATAATTACCTGGTTCCTGCTTCCTTCAACATTTATAAATGAAAACAAGATACAAGTTCACAAAAATACTGATCATATCTAATTATTAAAGAAAACAAGGAATAAACTTTCTCCCATCTAAAAATACAAATAAACCAACTACCTTGAAGAAACATTTCGTATCACCTATTCTATACAATAGGAACATCAAAAATATAAAAATCTTCCTTTGCAAATCTGCCAAATGCTGCTTCACAAGACCAAACTACTTTCAGACTCATTTAGAATCTTATCTTCTACTGAAACATGAGAGAGCTTTGTAAATTAAAGCATTTTATCAACTGCAATGAATTTTGCATATTTAGAAAATTCATCTATGGTTAGTATATAAGTTTTGCTCATAATATATTGCCTACCACTGGCCAAACACAGAGAACAAAAGCCAGGCCAGCATGACGGCTCATGCTTGTAATCCCAGGCTTTGGAAGACCAAGACAAGAGGATCGCTTGAGGCCAGGAGTTCAAGACCAGCCTTGGCAAGAGAGCGAGAGCTTGTCTCTAAAAACAATAAATTAGCTAGGTGTGGTGGCATGCACCTGTAGTCCATCCCAGCTACTCAGGAGGCTGAGGCGGGAAGACTGCTTGAGCCCAGAAATTTGAAATTTGGGGATACAATGGGCTGCAACAGTGCCACCACTGCATTCCAGCCTGGGTGACAGAGTAACACCCTGTCTTTAAAAAAAAAAGAACAGAAGTCATAGGTACCTAGATATACTATTCTACTTCACATGTTTTTTTGTCAAGTCTCTGTAAAAAGCCTTAAACTCTGGATATCTTACCTTTTTTAAAATTTCTTGGAGACCTGTTAATTCTGTAAAAGCAACTTAACTGTGGAAAGAAAATGAAATATAATTAATCCTTGAACCCTGTAATTTATCTTAAACAACGCCAGATTAGGATATCCATTTCAGAATTACCTATCAAAAGTGAAGCAATATAAGGAACCACAATTACAGGTGTTAGAAAATGGTCTTTTGTTCCAAGGGGAAATTAATCATCCTTCTGCAAAAAGGAGATACAATATCCAAATAGACATATAAAAATTATTTAAAAATTTAAAACTTGCCAAAAATTGAACAACTGCTCCTTGATTGGAAGTAGCATGAAGAAAGGAGTGACAGAAATGTTATATATTTTGAATGCAGTAGTAGTTACATGGGTGTATAAATTTATCAAGGTTTACTGCTTTGTATCATTAGGGTCTATACATTTTGCTGTAGACAAGTTTTACATCTACTTCAAAAAACTGTTCTACAAGTAAAATTCGAGTACGAAAAGTTCAAAAAAGAAAAAAGACCTTCAATTATTTTGCCACACGAAAATCCAAAACTCTAGTTTATATTTATATCCAACTCTCGAGCTGTTCTCCTCCCTTTCAAAACATAAGACCAAATCAAATTAAAGAGCAATCATTCAAAATTATACAATAAATAAAACAACAAAGGCTGAAATCCAAAAATCAATTTTTAAAAGAATAAATCCAAACCTATGGCTACTGTTTAGATGCAATTTAAAGGTCTATATAAACTCACACTTCCACACATGGAACCAAATTTCATGATGCCAGTAGAATTAAGGCAAATATTTAAAGGTCTATATAAACTCACACTTCCACACATAGAACCAAATTTCATGATGCCAGTAGAATTAAGGCAAATACTACAATATCCCTAAAGTCAAAATCTCAATACCACTCCGTACTGCAAAAATAGTAACTGTTAAAATTCATCTCAAGTCAAACAGAAAATGCTAATAATAATGCTAATATTAATAATGGCAGTAGCACATTTCCATTTCAAACAACTACTCCGCATTCTACCAAGGAAACCCAAATGACAATGCAGAAAAGTAAAAATGAATTTGCAATATTGAGATTACCAGGTCACTGAAAAATCTCAATGTATTCTTTTTTAAGAAATTTGCATTTAATACTTTCAGGAATACCCAACCTATTTCATGAAGACTTGCCAAACTAATCATTATAATTTACACTTTTGGGGAGGGAGGAGACAGGGTCTCACTCTGCCACCCAGGCTGGAGTGCAGTGGCACGATCTTGGCTCACTGCAGCCTCAACTTACTCAGGCTCAGGCAATCCTCCAAACTCAGCCTTCCAAGTAGCTGGGACTACAGGTGCACACCACCACACCCAGCTAATTTTTGTATTTTTTGTAGAGCCAGCATTTCATATTTCCCAGGCTGGTAGGAAACTCCTGGGCTCAAGCAATCAGCCTGCCTCAGCCTCTCACAGTGCTAAGACTTACAGCTATGAGCCACTGCACCTGGCATAATTTACATGTTTTTAATGTACAAATAAATGTGGCTTTAATCGAGTATTTACACTTAAGTATCACTGTTCCCCCAAAGTGGGGGTCTGAAGACATATGCACTGAGGTCTGTTTTCCTTTAAAAAGGGTCCATAGGCCAGGCACGGTGGCTCAAGCCTGTAATTCCAGCACTTTGGGAGGCCCAGGCGGATGGATCACGAGCTCAAGAATCGAGACCATCCTGGTCAACATGGTGAAACCCCATCTCTACTAAAAATACAAAAAATTAGCTGGGCATGGTGGCACGTGCCTATAATCCCAGCTACTCAGGAGGCTGAGGCAGGAGAATTGCCTGAACCCAGGAGGCGGAGGTTGCGGTGAGCCAAGATCGCGCCATTGCACTCCAGCCTTGGTAACAAGAGCGAAACTCCGTCTCAAAAAAAAAAGGGGGGGGGGGGAGTCCATAGATTAACCAGAAGCTAAACTAGCAAAGACATCAAATTATTTCACACATTCTACATATGAAAAATATTAATGAAGTTTGCTATTAAAGTATTTGCACAGGAACAAAAAATTAAAAAGCCTATTTTCTTCAACAAACCAATATCCAGACCAAGACTTCAACAAAAACTATAAATAGTTTCTGGAATATTTATCCACACTAAAGTCCCAAGACTCCCTCCTATGCAAATTGTGTTAGCTACTCTTTTACTTTTAACATATTTCAGAAAGCACCATATTTTTGTCTCTCCTAAGCTTTCTTAAAAATTTTAAAGGGATTTACCCTGGGAACATAAATTCATCTACAAGAGAAATTAGAGACGTTTCAAGGAATAATTATATCACAAATTCAAAAAAATCTCTAGTAATTTATCCTACCTAACTTAAAAACTATCTTTTAACTACATAGTTTCATGAGCACAAATCTCATGAATTCCAATTCACGCAGACTCTTTAAAAACTTTATTCTCATTTGCCACAGTTAAAATACAACTAATGCTTAAACTTCTCTGCCCTTAAGACAGTAGGGTTATGCACCATTTATGCCTCTGCAATAACACACCTTAGAGACCAACTAAGAGATCAGCTCTCAAAATGGGCACTTTTCTGTTTCCAATATGGTATTTCCTTAAGCAAATTCTCCAGAAATTCTACTCCTAACACACTAAATTACACAAAAGCAAAACACAAAAATTGCCCTAAAGTACTCTGCAATTAAAATTTTCCTAGTTATGAATGCAAAAAGTATTTTTGTGCCTTATGTATTTGGAGACATTAATCTGTTAAAATTTCTACAAAAAGAAAGTGGGTCCCTAAAAGATCATTTGAGTAAGTCAGTGAAATTAAAAGCGCATTTTAAATAACTTTGCTTTTTTATCAAACGATTCATACCACTTAATCACCATCATAACTAAACATGGAATGTGCATCTTCTAATCAAGATTTAAGGAGATACGAAGAGGCAAACAGGGGAGGGAGGCTGAATTTGAATAGGTAATATCTCAGATCCATTTGATTTTTAACGAAGAAAAATTCATTTTCCAGATATGGTAAGGGAAAGAATTTTTTTTAACTCTGTGACTACTTCGTAAAGCCCAAAGTCATGATGTAGCACATTCAAATTCTAAACGTGAGTTTCCCCTGCAGAAAATAATCTACACCAACCCGTAATTATTCATGATGATCCACCTTTTATAATGCAGATGTTTAAAATAAAAACCAAAAGTATGACCAATTAGAGCCACAGTCCCTAAGAAGAATTGTAAATGAAGACGAATCCACAGGGCACAGGATTTCTCCCAACATCCATCATCCTCAAACGGGAATCATCCGAAGGCATCGATTCTACGGCCAAAAGCCTTTGTCCACAATTCCCACAGGTCAGAGCTTCCTTCTTTCGCGCCAGGCCAAAGTTGCTAAGTGGGATCCGATGTTGTCGCCAGACTTTCAGCCAAAATCAGCCTTCAAATTAACCTGGACCGCCCAACCTTTGTGCCTTTCCGTTATGCCGTCTCAAGGGCAAACATTCCACCGTAACTCGCCAGAGGGTGAACTGCCCCCAAATCTAACTGAAAACACTTGCCCTTCTCAAGCCTAACGAGCCGGGCCTGCAGCGCTTTTCTGCCACCACTGACTACGATGACATAGCAAAGAAAAAAAAAATACCTATGAAATCCTTCGAGATCTTCACTCTCAAGATCCCTGGGAAGCGCACATACACCACCACATGGAAGCTGACGGGAAAGGGAGAGTCGGTGTTTTAGCAAGAAAAGAGGGTGCCCTAACTGCAGGAGCTACGCTAGATCCAGGGGCGACCGCCGGCCCCGCCTTTCCCCGTTCTTCCGGCTTGGTCGCCCAGCCCTCCCCATCCCCGGCGCCCAGAGGGGAACTGCTTCGCACTTGGCAAACACACACCACTGCTGCCGAGTCGGACACACAAGGCCGGAGGCTGAGGGCACTCTTCGTCGCCGCAGCCTCCCCAGAACAGGTAGAGCCCTCAGTGAGCCCAGAAGAAGATGGCGCCCACGGCCCCTCAGCTCCGGACAAACGGACGTACCGTTTGTCTGCCCATGCGCTCTCCCAGCGTAACCTACCAACACGCTTGCGCAAGCGCGGAACCGCTCACCCGCTTCCCTTGCGAGCGGAGGGGAGGCGGAGCCACGGGTTGGCTGAGCTCCTGCGCATGCCCAGATTTTGCCAAGCCCAAAGACCTCGACTTGAAACGTGAGAAATTCGGAGACATAGTGAAGGCTCAGCTGGTAGGTGTACTGAGAAACTTCTGTAGACAACTGTCGAAGTGCAATGGACAAACTTTCAGGATTTCCAGAAGTTAAGAAAAGAGATGCGAAAGCAGAGAAAAGACGGTTTGTCTTTTCAGTGTTGCATTACTATGTGGCGTAAAGCATCTTCTAAAAAAGCTCCTGTGGCCGGACGTGGTGGCTCGCGTCTGTAATCCAAGAACTTTGGGAGGCCGAGGCGGGAGGATCACTTGATGTCAGTAGTTCAAGACCAGCCTGGCCAACACAGCAAAACCCCTGTCTCTACTAAAAATACCAAAAAAAAATTAGCCAGGCATGGTGGCGGGCACCTGTAATCCCAGCTACTCAGGAGGCTGAGGCAGGAGAATCACTTGAACAGGAGAGATGCAGGGTGCAGTGAGCGCAGATCGCACCACTGCACTCCAGCCTGGTCGAAAGAATGAAACTCCGTCTCAAAAAATAAAAATAAAAAAGGCCCTGTAGACCCTTGATGACCACAGAAATGTCAATTTTACTGCCATAGATGTTCGCCAAGTACAGTCCCAACACCTAGGGCTTAAAAAATGCATGCTTAGTCAACTTTATAGATATTAATAACCTTGTGAAATGTCTTTATAAATTTGTTTCTATCATCTGGATTTTGTAACAAGAGAACAGATGAGCCAATACTGAAATTTCAGTAATGGAAAAGCAATGTTGCAGGCATATTCTGTGATCTCTGCTACATAAAAGCTGGTAAACAACCTCTTGTTTGGTTCTATCATTTGCAAATAGCAAAGTTGCCCACCACGTTGTATACCTACATGGTGCATTTGTGGATGGATTCAAAGCTCATTAAGCAGAAAGTACATTTAAAACATATTTATTTATTTATTTTTTATTGCATTTTAGGTTTTAGAGTACATGTGCAGAACATGCAAGACAGTTGCATAGGTACAGACATGGCAATGTGTTTTGCTTCCTTTCTCCCCTTCACCCACATTTGGCATTTCTCCCCAGTCTATCCCTCCCCCAGCTCCCCCCCCACTGGCCCTCCCATTTTCCCCCCAATAGACCCCAGTGTTTAGTACTCCCCTCCCTGTGTCCATGTGTTCTCATTTTTCATCACCTGCCTATGAGTGAGAATATGCGGTATTTCATTTTCTGTTCTTGTGTCAGTTTGCTGAGAATGATGTTCTCCAGATTCATCCATGTCCCTACAAACGACGTGAACTCATCATTTCTGATTGCTGCATAATATTCCATGGTGTATATGTGCCACATTGTCCCAATCCAGTCTATCATCAATGGGCATTTGGGTTGATTCCAGGTCTTTGCTATTGTAAACAGTATTGCAATGAACATTCGTGTGCATGTGTCCTTATAGCAGAACGATTTATAGTCCTTTGGATATATACCCAGTAATGGGATTGCTGGGTCAAATGGAATTTCTATTTCTAAGGCCTTGAGGAATCGCCACACTGTCTTCCACAATGGTTGAACTAATTTACACTCCCACCAACAGTGTAAAAGTGTTCCTTTTTCTCCACATCCTCTCCAGCATCTGTTGTCTCCAGATTTTTTAATGATCGCCATTCTAACTGGCGTGAGATGGTATCTCAGTGTGGTTTTGATTTGCATCTCTCTGATGACCACTGATGATGAGCATTTTTTCATATGATTGTTGGCCTCATATATGTCTTCTTTAGTAAAGTGTCTGTTCATATCCTTTGCCCAATTTTGAATGGGCTTGTTTGTTTTTTTCCTGTAAATCTGTTTGAGTTTTTTTTTCCTGTAAATCTGTTTGTAAATTCTGGATATCAGCCCTTTGTCAGATGGGTCAACTGCAAAAATTCTTTATCATTCTGTTGGTTGCCGATTCACTCTAGTGACTGTTTCTTTTGCTGTGCAGAAGCTGTGGAGTTTGATTAGGTCCAATTTGTCTATTTTGGCTTTTGTTGCCAATGTTTTTGGTGTTTTGTTCATGAAGTCCTTGCCTACTCCTATGTCCTGGATGGTTTTGCCTAGATTTCCTTCTAGGGTTTTTATCGTGCCAGGTCTTATGTTTAAGTCTTTAATCCATCTGGAGTTAATTTTAGGGTAAGGTGTCAGGAAGGGGTCCAGTTTCTGCTTTCTGCACATGGCTAGCCAGTTTTCCTAACACCATTTGTTAAACAGGGAATCCTTTCCCCTTTGCTTGTTTTTTTCAGGTTTATCAAAGATTGTATGGTTGTAGATATGTTGTGTTGCCTCCGATGCCTCTGTTTTGTTCCATTGGTCTATATCTCTGTTTTGGTACCAGTACCATGCTGTTTTGATTACTGTAGCCTTGCAGTATAGTTTGAAATCCGGTAGTGTGATGCCCCTCGCTGTGTTCTTTTAGCTTAGAATTGACTTGGCTATGCGGGCTCTCTTTTGGTTTCATATGAAGTTCATGGTGTTTTCTTCCAGTTCTGCGAAGAAAGTCAATGGTAGCTTGATGGGGATAGCGTTGATTCTGTAAATTACTTTGGGCAGTATAGCCATTTTCACAATATTAATTTTTCCTAACCATGAACATGGAATGTTTCTCCATCTGTTTGTGTCCTCTCTTATTTCGTTGAGCAGTGGGTTGTACTTTTCCTTGAAGAGGTCCTTTACGTTCCTTGTGAGTTGTAGTCCTAGGTATTTTATTCTTTTTGTAGCAATTGTGAATGGCAGTTCGTTCTTGATTTGACTTTAAGTCTGTTATTGGTTTAGAGGAATGCTTGTGATTTTTGTACATTGATTTTATATCCTGAGAGTTTGCTGAAGTTGCTTATCAGTTTCAGGAGTTTTTGGGCTGAGGCAATGGGGTCTTCTAGGTATACTATCATGTCGTCTGCAAATAGAGACAATTTGGCTTCCACCTTTCCTATTTGAATACCCTTTATTTCTTTTTCTTGCCTGATTGCTCTGGCTAGAACTTCCAGAACTATATTGAATAGGAGTGGTGACAGAGGGCATCCTTGTCTAGTGCCGGATTTCAAAGGGAATGCTTCCAGTTTTTGCCCATTCAGTATGATATTGGCTGTTGGTTTGTCATAAATAGCTTTTATTACTTTGAGATACGTTCCATTGATACCGAGTTTATTGAGGGTTTTTAGCATAAAGGGCTGTTGAATTTTGTCAAATGCCTTCTCTGCGTCAATTGAGATAATCATGTGGTTTTTGTTTTTGGTTTTTTATGTGGTGAATTACGTTTATAGACTTGCGTATGTTGAACCAGTCTTGCATCCCCGGGATGAATCCTACTTGATAATCATGGATAAGTTTTTTGATTTGCTGTTGCAATCGGCTTGCCAATATTTTATTGAAGATTTTTGCATCTATGTTCATCATGGATATTGGCCTGAAGTTTTCTTTTCTTGTTGGGTCTCTGCCGGGTTTTGGTATCAGGATGATATTGGTCTCATAAAATGATTTGGGAAGGATTCCCTCTTTTTGGATTATTTGGAATAGTTTTAGAAGGAATGGTACCAGCTCCTCTTTGTGTGTCTGGTAGAATTCGGCTGTGAACCCATCTGGACCTGGGCTTTTTTGGTAGGCTCTTAATTGCTGCCTCGACTTCTGCCCTTGTTATTGGTCTGTTCATAGTTTCAGCTTCCTCCTGGTTTAGGCTTGGGAGGACACAGGAGTCCAGGAATTTATCCATTTCTTCCAGGTTTACTAGTTTATGTGCATAGAGTTGTTTGTAATATTCTCTGATGATGGTTTGAATTTCTGTGGAATCTGTGGTGATTTCCCCTTTATCATTTTTTATTGCATCTATTTGGTTGTTCTCTCTTTTTAATCAATCTGGCTAGTGGTCTGTCTATTTTGTTGATCTTTTCAAAAAAACAGCTCTTGGATTTATTGATTTTTTTAAGGGTTTTTCGTGTCTCTATCTCCTTCAGTTCTGCTCTGATCTTAGTTATTTCTTTTCTTCTGCTGGGTTTTGAGTTTTTTTGATCTTGCTCCTCTAGCTCTTTCAATTTTGATGATAGGATGTCAATTTTGGATCTCTCCATTCTCCTCATATGGGCACTTATTGCTATATATTTTCCTCTAGAGACTGCTTTAAATGTGTCCCAGAGATTCTGGCATGTTGTGTCTTCGTTCTCATTGGTTTTGAAGAACTTCTTTATTTCTGCCTTCATTTCATTGTTTATCCAGTTAACATTCAACAGCCAGTTGTTCAGTTTCCATGATGCTGTGCGGTTCTGGGTTGGTTTCTGAATTCTGAGTTCTAACTTGATTGCACTATGGTCTGAGAGACTGTTTGTTATGATTTCAGTTGTTTTGCATTTGCTGAGCAGTGCTTTACTTCCAATTATGTGGTCAATTTCAGAGTAGGTGTGATGTAGTGCTGAGAAGAATGTATATTCTGTGGATTTGGGGTGAAGAGTTCTGTAAATGTCTATCAGGTTTGCTTGCTCCAGGTCTGAGTTCAAGCCCTGGATAGCCTTGTTGATTTTCTGTCTGGTTGATCTGTCTAATATTGACAGTGGAGTGTTAAAGTCTCCCACTATTATTATGTGGGAGTCTAAGTCTCTTTGTAAGTCATTAAGAACTTGCCTTATGTATCTGGGTGCTCCTGTATTGGGTCTATATTTGTTTAGGATCATTAGCTCTTCTTGTTGTATCGATCCTTTTACCATTATGTAATGGCCTTCTTTGTCTCTTTTGATCTTTGTTGCTTTAAAGTCTATTTTATCAGAGATGAGAATTGCAGCTCCTGCTTTTTTTTTTGCTCTCCATTTGCTTGGTAAATCTTCTTCCATCCCTTTATTTTGAGCCTTTGTGTATCCTTGCATGTGAGATGGGTTTCCTGGATACAGCACACTGATGAAT